CTGTGGAATCGACAATAGCGATTCCGATTTTCTTCGTTTCGCATTGGGTTGCATTGGGCGTGGAGGCTCTGCCGACCTTTTTGTTCATCACATGAAGTATTTCGGTGAGGCGAGTATTGAGTGGAGTGAATCGATTATAAGTTGAAGATGATTGGCCTTGAGGTGGGGGTGGAGGACGTCGATCATCTCGTCTCCTAATATCCGGGCGGTCATCTTCTCTCTTCCTCTTGGGAGGAGCATTGGCAGAAGCTTACTCTATGCGTATGTATTTTTCAGCTCGATTTAACAACTCATCTAAGTTGCCAGGAGGTCTTCCTGCGATAGATTCTTTGAACCTACCCGACTTCAGGTTTTGCTGCATAATCCCTGAGAGCATATCTTGTCCTACACTGGGAACTTCATGAACAGCCTCCACGAAACGCCTGATGTAGTTGCGGAGTGTTTCATTGTCTCTCTGTACGATAGAGAAGAGATGTGCTGGAGTTTTAGCATATTGCTTATTGATGGCAAATTGGTTGGTGAAGCGCAATGATAACTGAGCGAAAGTGTCAATTGATCCTGTGGGCAGAGCGTTGAACCAATTCATGGCTCTCTTGGATAGAGTGGTGCGGAACATCTTGCACATTGCTGCATCTGTTGGGCCATATAAATCTGCCATAGCGTGGAACTTCTCTATGTGTTCCTGCGGGTCGGTAGTTCCTTCGAACTGAGGTAAGCCTGATACTTTCACTCCTTGAGGTAATACCTCGTTGAGGATGTTCAGGGTGAAAGGACTGCGCCTTGTTGGGATTGGTGCTCTTCCGTCAATTGGGTTGTGCAATCTGGGGAACTGGTTTTGGCGAGACACTCTACTATTTATCTCGTCTTCCCCTTCATTAAAGATATGAGCTCTTCGTAGAGACGCATCACCCCGTTGGAGTGAATGGTGGCGTTGTTGTCTGGGTTGCGGCTCCCTGTGATTGGTAGATAGCTGCATCCGGGATCTTGGATCTGAGGTGGATGAAGATACACTTATCCGATCGTCATTGTTCTGGGCTGGTTGCTGTACCCTGGGTGGCATTGCGGGTGGAGCATTAGCTGGGATCACGGGGGGAGCGTTAGCTGGGATCGCGGGGGGAGCGTTTGCTGCCATCGTGGCGATGTATTGTGCCACCGCATCAGTGGCGGCGCGAGTAGAAACTTCTGTTATCATCCGTTGGAGTGCCTCCTCGGTTATTTGAACCGTTCGAGAAGCAGGTAGAGGTGGAACCTGTAGTGGAGGATCGGCGAGTGGTGGATCCCGAGGGGGAATCACCTGAACCTCGCGTGGTGGATCCAGAGCACGTGGAGGAGGTGGTAAGCCAGAGCCTCCTCGAACCGGAAGGTTGTTAGCTGTGTCACTCTCTCTCCGAGTGGACTCAGGAGGATCTTGCTGGCTACGTGATCTGGTCTGCATTCCCACAGACGGCGCCAAAATGATGACGTAAAAAATAAATCACCTAATGTGTTGAAGCTGGGAGAGCAAAGTAGGTCACGTGCTCACGAGCTAGATAGTCCTGAGAACTTTAATTTACTCTAGGATCCTGCGAACAGAAAACACGTAATCTAAGCCGGGGGTCGATCCGGCGGAAACCCCTCCGACGCTCAAGTCAGACGTGAAGATAGTTGGTAATTGTGGAGAGAATTCGAATAGAAGAATTGAGGGAATAATAATAACGTACCTTCATTCAATGAATTTAAGTTCTATTTATACTTTATTGATTGGGTCGAGACAATTTATCGGGCCCAACCTTATTTGGGTTCGATTGGGCCTCTGTAGAAATAGCTATTAAGTTGGGCATGTGGTCCAGTAAATGTGGGCTATTGGGCTGGGCCAATAGGTATATCAGTATTTAATCGGATGTACGAGTCCTTCATTTTATTTATTATTATTTTTTTTAATCATATAGAATTCATGTTTTAGAAAAGAAAAACAAAATTAATGTTTCATATTTTGTGATTCAAAAAACCAAAAAGAAAACAGCCGCCGCCTTTGCTTAGTCAGAAGTCAAAACCAATCTCTCTCTCTCTCACGTAATTTGCAAGCCAATTTAAAATTTTCATCCTTTCTAAAATGTGCATTACGACGTCGTAGAATATTATATGATATATATACTTGTTAATAAAATAAACAAAAGAAAATGAAAAGCAAATATTGAGTGAAATAACAACTAGGTTACGCCTCTCACCGGGCCCACTTTCGACTTTCCCTTGGAGTTATTACATTCTTATTTGACTCATTCAAATGTTTGATTACGAGCCAAGTTTCGTTGTTTAGTCAAGCTCAAAATGGAATCAATTCTCTCGAGTTCGATTCGAGCTTTTGTCGAGTCGACTCGGCTCATTTACACCCCTAATTACGACTAGGCGAGTTTTAAGAATTTGTGAGAGAGGAACCTCTAGCTATATTATATAATGTAGACTAATTCATTTGAAGAGTCTAAATACGACTCTACATTACTTTTTTCATTAGAGTTATTTTAGAGAAATTATGATTGAAATATTGTACAATTAAGGTTACTCGATAATTTATAGGGTTCGCGGGACAAAGCTTCAAAATTTGTTTGAGAATAGTCATAAAAATATTATTTAGCAAGAAAATATACGTAACACTTGTTTAAATACAATAAAATAAAATATATTACATTTCAATTTGTCGAAATTCTTTGAAGCTAGTGTAGATTATTAAACTGCAAGAGAAGACCTAGTAATTGGGACAAGTGTGTTGATACGAATTATTATTTAATATATTATTTAATTATTAGTTTAGTTAATAGTTAATTATTAATTATATAAAATAGTATATTTAGCATATATATTTATATTTATATAGCCGTCTGTTTAGTAATTAGGAGATTATTAAGTATTTAATTAGTATAGGTAATTATCTTTTCTAGTTAGATTAGGATTCTAAGGTTTTATTATCTTTAAATAGTCGTATTGTGCTAGGGTTTTATTATGAAGAGAAATAATAAAGAAGAGTTTTCTTACGTTTAGTAAAGAAATCTTATGATACACAAGAGATCGCATCAATTGGTATCAGAGCGAAGTTGCGATTAACACCAACACTTCGTTAGCAAAGCAGCGATTATATCAAAGCTAAGCTGGAGCAAAGTTGAGATTACATCAACACTTTGCGAAATTATGCCGTCCGAGAGAAAACGTTTAGAGCGATTGGAAAAATCCGTGGAGGAGATACGGATCGGTCTCCAAAAATTGCTCGAACAAAGTCAAGGACGACGCCATCACAAAAGCCGAAGGGACCGCCGCCCATCACCGCCAACGCCACCGCCGCCGTTGCCGAGCCTATCGCCAGAGGGAGAGGACGAGGACGACGATGATTTTTTCGAAGAGCCCCAATTTTTTGTGAGTTCTCCGAAAGAAGAAGAATCGGATTCAACTGAGATAAAGTGGGACGACGAGCCGAAAGAAGAATTATCGGATTCACTTGAGGTAATTTGGGACGTAGACGAGGAATTAACAAAGGAGGAGAACGAAGAGTTACGATGGATATTGGGAGATTTCCATGATGTTCAAAACAAAGAAGACGAAGGAGTATTGACGATTTTCAAGGAGATTAAGAAATCTAACAATGCTATTGAGAAGATTGATGTATCACTAAAAGTGTCAAATATTTCCTCGATGATGTTTAATGAATTGTTTGACCATAACAAACAATACGTTAAAGAGTCAACGATGGTGGAGACATGTGATGAAGTAGTCGATCAATTGATTGAGATTCGTGTTCTCAGCATCCTACATGAGAACAAATTATTTTTGAAGAAATTTGATGGCATCAAGCATAGATGGAAGCGCAAAAAAGAGAGAGCTGCAAATATTCGAACCTTGAGGGCAAGGTTCATTTCAAGAGGGGTGGTTTGATACGAATTATTATTTAATATATTATTTAATTATTAGTTTAGTTAATAGTTAATTATTAATTATATAAAATAGTATATTTAGCATATATATTTATATTTATATAGCCGTCTGTTTAGTAATTAGGAGATTATTAAGTATTTAATTAGTATAGGTAATTATCTTTTCTAGTTAGATTAGGATTCTAAGGTTTTATTATCTTTAAATAGTCGTATTGTGCTAGGGTTTTATTATGAAGAGAAATAATAAAGAAGAGTTTTCTTACGTTTAGTAAAGAAATCTTATGATACACAAGAGATCGCATCATGTGTTTGTGCCAATTGATTCTTACAAACGAATATTGTTTGGTCAAGTTTGCCAACGTCTCTCGTATATTTTGCAAGCTACTACACGAGAGAGCGCAAATCATTTATGATTGTTTTTAGTTTTTCTTTTTTATGAGAGGAGTTAATTAAGAATACAAATCAGCCTATTTTAAGATGCCAAATTAAAGTGCTGACGTGGAGACGTTTTAGATGGGTTTGAAACCTGCATGGAAAAGGCCAGCTGCATATATATTAATTACGTGTGTACTTTTTATTCTATATATATAATTATCTCATTTATTTCACTTTTTTTGCTGGCCTATTAAGAGCCTCGCTTTTTTTCTTTTATTTATATATATATATGCATCTCGAAAAACAAAATCATTTTTCTGTTTTATTTATCTTATTTGATTCGAATACAAAACAGATTTATTCAGCCGCTTCTTTTATTTATCTGCAACTTTTCCTCTGGTGGATATATATATAATATATATATATATATATACACGTTATACGTATAGGAAAAATACAGCTAAGTCTGGTTTCTTCTTCGTTCGTTCGTTCTAAGTTTTATTGAGAAAAAAACAAAAACAAAAAAGAGCTTTCTTTAATTTGCTGGATTAGTGCTGGGAAATTTCTTGATGAGCTGGTGATTATTTCTTCTTTTTTTTCCTTTTTTCTTATGAATTTATTTATTATTCCCCTCATCCTCATGTCGATTAATTCTTGGAGGTTTTTTTTTTTTTTGTAGGGGTAAAGATTTATCCTTTTGCCTGCAACTTTTGGCCCCAGGATCTAATTAATGATTTCATAACATTAATTAAGCTGAGGATGATAAGTTCTTTAATTTGTTCATCAAATTCTCTCTCTCTCTCTCTCTAGAAAAAAAATGTTGTATGTTGATGGTGCATGATTGGTGCATATAATTATAGCCCCACATTCTGTCTTGCCTTGAATATGGTATGGCAACATAAATTAGGTCAAGATATCATAGAGAGAGAGAGAGAGAGAGAGAGAGAGAGAGAGAGAGAGAGAGAGAGAGAGAGAGAGAGAATTACACAAAAATAAATAAATAAATAAATAAAGGAGAAAAAGAGAAGCAACTTTGAAATAATTAGTTGTTATTTCCTTGTCATTATTATTTGAGGTTAGGAATTGTTACATATATAATCATCATCATGCTGCTGGTTAATTGCCTAATTAATATCTGCCTTTAATTTACATATATATCCAATTATATATACTATATACAGACTCTCTTTCACCATACATATATATATATATATATATATATATATATATGGTTGTTGATTCAACCAATCCATCAAAGGACAAAAGTTGTATGATGTCATACATAAGTATGTATGTTTGTTAATGTAATATTCTTGTGCTAAAACTGCATACTTTTTGTATTGTGCTTTACCTTTAGCTTATCCTATATATATAAATATATTACAATTATACTTGATGTGTAGATTAGTAGTGCAAAATAAAGAAGATGGGGCTTGTTGATCTATTTATTGCATCAACAATACCTGTCCTAAAAGTGCTTCTGGTCACTGGATTGGGTTCCTATCTTGCTTTCGATCATGTCGGAATTTTGGGTGACGATGCTAGAAAACATTTGAATAATGTAAGTAATTCTTTACATTTAATTAACCATCATATTGTTCATATTCATATACTATATATTCTCTTGTTTTGATCTCTTATGTAAATAATTAAACAGATTACATTCTTCGTATTCAGTCCCGCGCTTGTGTACAGCAACCTAGCCAAGACGATTACATACGACAGCATGGCTAAGCTGTAAGTAATTAAGCTTCTCTCTCTCTCTCTTTTTTTTTTTTTTTTTTTTTTAATAATATATTATGTTATAATTATTATTATTATTATCAAGATTCAAGAATGTGTGTATATATATAATTTTGGGCATGCAGGTGGTTTATGCCTTTGAATATCTTAATCACGTTCATTGTCGGATCGGTTCTTGGTTGGGTTGTCATTCAAATAACACGAGCTCCTTCGCATCTCCGAGGACTTATTATCGGTTGTTGTGCCGCAGGTACAGTCGATAAATATAATAACTAATATAATTTATCATTTCTTTAATAACAAATCATTATTTTATAATATGCATGTGAACAGGCAATTTAGGAAACTTGCTTCTCATAATAATTCCGGCAGTCTGTAAAGAAAAAGGAAGCCCGTTTGGTGATCCCGATGTTTGCCAAACATACGGAATGTCATACGCTTCTCTTTCAATGGCAGTAAGTATATATAATTATATATATATAAATATCAAATTAATTTAAAGTAATATTATATTCATCGAACGATGTCTTAATACTGTGTTTATTGTCATCATTTTAGATTGGAGCAATTTATCTGTGGTCCTATGTTTACAACATTGTTAGAGTGTCTTCGAGTAGTAGATCAAAAGATGTCGAAATAATCAACGACTCGTACGTCAGTAATAATAATAATAATAATAATAATAATAAATCTTCGATAGAAAGTTTGTCTCCTTCGTCGACGACAGAGCCTTTACTTTCTTCGACACAAGATCATGAAATTGGATTGATTCTGCCACAAGATACATTTCAGCATAAGCCTCCGGTAAATTAATCTCGTCTTTATTATTGTCGTATTTAATTATTTAACTATTATTTAAATTAAAATAAATAAAAAATAAAAAATCGACTGCATGCAGGTCTCTCTTTCGGATCGAATAAAGCAACGGTTGGAGATGCTATTGAATAAGATGAACCTGAAGAAATTATTTTCTCCATCAACAACTGCTGCGGTATTCTTCGTTTTTTTTTTTTTTTTTTTTTTTGGTGTTAAAAAAATGAAAAATGAAAAATCTCATGAGTAAATTATGTGTGAAAACATTTTTTAATAAATGCTCTGTTTTTTGTTTTTTCGGTACAGATTGCTGGATTTGTAGTCGGACTTGTACCTCTAATTCGGAAACTGATAATCGGTGATGAAGCTCCTCTCCGTGTACTACAAGATACTGCACTCTTGCTCGGGTATATATATACATATATTTATCGAGATATTATATTTTCAATAGTGATTAATTTATTGCAAAAATTATAAACCATAATCACGGGAGAATCTTATACTCGTTCGGCATCGTTGCAGTGACGGAGCTATTCCAGCTGTCACACTGGTCATGGGTGGAAACCTTTTAAAAGGTCAATAAAGCTAACGGAATGTTTACGTACTATACCCTTTATAATTTCGACAATTCTTGGAAAAGTTTCGATAAATATTTGTTTTCTTGTTTTCAGGTTTGAAAGGAGGTTCAGAGATTCGGAAATCAATTATTTTCGGCATTGTTTTTGTTCGATACGTTGCAATGCCTCTAATAGGTATTGTAATAGTTCAAGGGGCAATCCGATTTGGTATAGTGCATGATAATCCGTTGTATCAATTCGTTCTTCTTCTGCAGTTTGCACTTCCACCTGCAATGAACATAGGTACATTCTTTACATTTTATGGATCAATTTTTTTTTTTTTTTAATGATAATATTAGCTGAAGTTATTGCAACCCGTTTTACGGCAGGAACTATAACTCAATTATTTGGAGCTGGAGAAAGCGAATGTTCTGTGATTATGCTGTGGTGCTACTTATTGGCTTCTGTGGCTCTTACTGTGTGGTCAACACTCTTCTTGTGGCTCGTGTCTTAAATTCGATTTTATTATGTTCCAAATTTTTATATTCTTCGATCAACAAGATCAACATTGTTACGACAACAATGCACAATTATTACAGACCGTATAGGCAAAAACGGCGATTTCACCATTCGATTAATACTCAACAATACGTTTTCTTGGAAGTTATATGTCTGAAATGTCAAGTGCTCACATTAAGTAAAAAAAAAAAAAAATTAATAGAAAAACATTATTATGGGAAATAAGGGAACCAGTAAAAAAGTTTGAAGCATATTACATTGTTTATCAGTAAGCACAAGTGCTGCTTAAGCTAGGGTTACATCAACACACAAGTTGAAAGAAACTAATAAGGCATAAGTTTTTAGTAAGAAAAATCAGCAAATGTTGATTACACGGCCAAGAAATAATGCTCGAGGGAAGCAAGCAAAAATAAGCCGAATTCAGCGAGATTTCAGAGACCAGTCTTGTCAAGATCATCAAAATACGGATGCTCCATAGCTTTCTTTGCTGAAATCCTCTTTGATGGTTCGTACTGCAGCATTTCCTGCAATTTCAGACAATTTTGGAACACTGTTTAAGGAAACGAGTAACTGTAACTGTCGATGAAGTTTATTACAAAATCTGAGAAGGGCTTACAGTTAAAAGGTTTATCCCGTCTTTATCCAGACCAGGCACAGCTGATTCCATTGGCTTTGGGCTCCATTGTGGGTATTCATGCCAGTTCACTAGCTTGTTAACTCCAGGCCAAATTTGTTCATTTGGAGTTCCCAACAATCTGCTCCCAACAAATAAAGATTTTTTCGATCAGAACAAAGGTACCGAAAATATTAGTATGCGAAAACAGTAAGCACAATTTTCATGAGCCAAAAACCTGAAAATGTGCAGAAGCTGTTGCAGTTCAGAATCTCCAGGAAAGAGTGCTTGGTTTGTCACCAATTCAGCTGAGAATGAAATTCAACAGACAATATTCAACTTCAATGTAGATATGTAATCGAAAATTTACCCTAGAACAAGAAATAGCACTATCAAGAAACGGTTATTCAGTTCATACCAAATATACAGGCCACAGACCACATGTCTACTGCAGGGGAGTAGTGTGTGGCACCCAAAAGCACCTCAGGAGCTCTATACCAGAGTGTCAATATCTGCGAAAATCGCAACATCATCAACACACTTTTCGAATTATCTACGAACTTTTTAAGAAATTTTCGGTAAGGTTTTGCAGTTGGGGAAAGAGGGTATTCAAGAAAGTACCTCATGAGTATACTTCTTGATAGGCACTGTGTAAGCTCTGGCCAAACCAAGATCAGCTATCTTAAGCATCATTGTATTGCGATCCATCAACAGATTGTGGGGCTTAAGATCCCTACACGAGACATCTCGTAATTTAGCTCACATACAAAGAGGGGAAATAAAAATGAATTAATAAGCCATGAATGGAGAAACATGGATCACCTGTGCAAAACACCATGACCATGGCAGAAAGCAACACCTTTACAAAGCTGGTACATTAGACTCTGCAGTTTGTGAACAAACAAACAAACAATAGACTCGTTATGGTGCATTGAAAGAAAATTACACAAGGATTGCTGCCCAAAAATATTTTTTGAAGGCAAATTAAGACAAAAGTATACCTTGACATTTTTCGTTGGAACGGTGTCCCCGGTTTGGCGGAAGCTTCGAATGTACTTCTTGAGATCAGTATCCATGTACTCAAAAACCAAGTAAAGAACCGTTTTGCCTTGCTTGTTCAGGCCTTGTTTCACATCCATCAATCTGTATTTTTTAAATCGGAAATTTATTATTTTTTAAACAAAAAATTAACAAAAAACTGGTTATCATTAATTTATCACTATTAACTATGTAGAATGCTTGTAATAGACACGCAGGAGACTAATAGATAAAGGAGTCAGTAACAAAAACCCAATTATTGAAAATCATAGAAAGAATTAACTCTAAACGAAGAAACCCTAACCACACCAAATAATCAGGACCAGTATTAAACTCGAAATCAAATCGGCAAACCAGAAACAAATTATCGATAAAAACGAATTGAAAATGAAAAATTGAAAAAACCCTAAGTAAAACCAAACGAAGAATCGAGTAAAAAAAAAAAATCGAAATGAAATGAAAAAGGGGGGAAAGTGTTATACTTGACAACGTGGGGGTCTCGGGAGAGCATTCTGAGGAGAGAAACCTCGCGAAGAGTGGTGGGGGGAACGCCTTCTTCGTCTTCGTGGAGGCGCGTCTTCTTAAGAGCGACGATCTTACCGGTGGCTCTCTCTCTCGCTCTGTAAACTTTACCGTAAGTACCCTCTCCAACTTTCTCCAGCTTTTCGAATGCCTCCATTGCAGATTTCGGTTTCTCGTCCATTTCTTCTCCAACGCGCGCAGTGTGTGTTTGTGTGTGTTTTAGTGTGTGTGAAAAATGCGATACAGAGATTTGTTTGGGGAAGAATGAATGAATGAATGAGGTCTGTTTGGATTCGTTATATGATGATGGATTTACAACGGCAACTTTTTTTCGAAATTCAAATTCAAATGATATTCTCCTTTCGTGAAATCCCCAAATTACCCCCCAAGGAGCGTTTGGTTTTCGGAATGAAAATGCGGATGCCACCCTTGTTCTTTTTCTTTTTAATTTTGTTTTTTAATTTTATGTAGTCTTAAAATTTTAATAATATTAATTTTAGAAATATGTACGATTGAATATTTCAAATAAGCCAATAAAAATCGTGTGTCTCACATGTACGATTGAATGCCGTCCGGTAAATCTAAGGACGGAATTCGGAACGAAATTTTCGAGTTATGTCGATTTTGATTTAGGAACGAAATTGGAATAAATATTCGATTCCCGATCCAATTATATTTATTTTTTGAAAATTTGATTTTTTTTTTCTTTCGAAAATTACACGTATTCATCAATGTTATTGTGTATTTTACATTATAAGTGACTAAATTCTGATTTTCGATATTTTTTTTATCAAAATTGAAATTAGTTTTTCAATTATGATTTTTTTCGATTGTTAATTTCAATTTGATTCGTCCGATTTCTATCCCAGATAAAATACAATTTATTAAAATATGTATTGAAAATCTACATACAAACTATCCAATAAACTCACACAACAACCATTACACAAATTCTCAACCAATTGAAATTTAGTACACACACGATATATATCGCGTGATTATTGCTCTAGCTGCATAGCCGAGCAATAATTTCGTCGATGCACTTGTCCGAACTCCCACCCTCGTCGATCGCCTCCTTCGCCAACGCCTTCCAACGAGCCACATTCTTCTTAATCACTTCGCCCCTCTCTCCATGCATGATTTCCTCGATGCACCTATGAATTTCATCACGTGCACAACATCCATTTTCATCTGTCTTAGGGTTAATCCCCACGTGCCAAATATGCTCCACAAAATACGCATTAGTCATTTGATCCAAAAATTGTGGCATCGCCACCACACCCACTCCAAGACTTATCGCTTCCATCGTCGAATTCCACCCGCAGTGAGACACAAAACATCCAATCGAACCGTGTCGTAAAACTGCCAACTGTGGGGCCCACTTCACCACCAACCCTTTGTCCGAATAAAAGCAATTTTTTATCCGATCCTTAAAATGTGCGGGTAGTTTGTCTTCTTCGGACGGCTTCACCACCCACAAGAAGCTATTTTTGCTCTGCAAAAGGGCATTGGCTATTTCTGATATTTGATCCGCATTCAAACTTGCGGCACTCCCAAAGGATATGTAAATGACGGATCGGGTTTTCTTGGAATCGAGCCATTTCATGCAAGTCTCGGTGTTGGGCTTGTGTATGTTGAAGCCATAGTTGTTGTCGTCTTTGACTCGGTTGTCTAGATATATTGAAGGCAATGTGGGCCCGATGGGCCTCACCGGCCAGATTTTCGACATCCAGTTGATCACCTACATTTAATTAAAAAAAATCTTAAAATTTCTAAATTCCTCCAATTCTATTTGAATACTTTCGAATTGAAACAATAAATATTCATTTTGACATTCGATTTTTTCAACATCTTTTGGCATGGAACTGAAATACATGTTATATTCAGATTTTCGGTCCGATTTTAATTTCTGAAAATTATATTCCATTTTTCCCAAAAAGATTCTCTTTTAAAACAAGTTGGAAATTACAATTTTGGCCAAATTCCGATATGAAATTTTTCTAACTTATGGAACAAAATTTTCATTCCGATTTTTGAAATTCCCATTGTTTTAACGGAATTGTAATACATATAACATATTAGATTTTGATTTTTCGTCTGACTTTCCAAATTCTGCCGATTTCAATCCAAAAATTTTGATATTGCGACAAGTTTTTTGTTTCCAGTTTTTGAAATTCTTGTTTTGGAATGACACTCAGATTAGTTTTTCACTTCTGAAAGTAATATTTTTTTCTAGAACGTGCTAATTTTCGATCTTATTTCCACCCTTTAGCCTAGCATAACATATGGTATTTAAAACAAGTATGCGTTAGCCCGAATATTTATATATAGGTCGTGTACCTCCTCTTCGAGATGATGAAAAGAGTTGAAGAGAATCCAGTCCGCTTTCTCACAATTATCGAATTGGCGCAAGATATATCGGATTATGGGAGGATAACAACCCGTTTCAGCTCCCAACGAGGGCAAATTCGGAATATGAAGCTCAGGCAAATCGAATATCGACGCAAGTGGTCCCATAGATGGAGATACTCCAAACAAGTCACAATGCATTGGGTAGCACTGCGCAACAAAAGCACAAGACTGCGTAAAAAAGGCACCCATCGCAATATTTCCTACCTCATTAGCCACATTTGATGCCCACGATATATTCGCATCGTAAATCAAGCACTTCACACAATTATTTCCATCGGAAGAATCTTGAATTCTTTTGATGAGATCGATTAGGTTTCTTGATCCAACGGCTTCAAATCGATCGAGGAAGCCTTTGAATCCGCCGGGGGCCGCCACCCCTCCGTGGGTAAGATCGTCGTATATCGATTCAAAATCGATTGAGGCGAATAATGAAGCATCTTCTTGTATGGATTTGGTGTTAGAGAGAGTTGTGGCTAATGTGATTTTGATACCTTTTGATGACAAACGTTTGGAGAATTGTAACATGGGATTTAAGTGGCCTTGTCCGTGATAAGGTAACACAACAATATGAGCTTTGTAATTATTAGTTTCTTCCATATTATTGTTCATTATCTCTCTATCAATGCAAATCTTCCTGCATATTAATTTTGAAGCAAACTTTGTGTTTCTTACTATAATACATTATAAAAAGGAATTAAATACTAAAAGTATTATTGCCATTGGTTTCATCTATTGTGCAATAAACAAAGATTCTTATATAAATAAATATATTGAAAAGGCCGGCCGTGGCACAAGGATTAAGGCATATATGTGACTACTTGCTAAATTGACATTTTATTACAAAATACGTTAAATTACGACCACACCTGAGGGAAGGTCAAATTACGAGAAAAAAAATCTTTTTTTATTGATAATTACAATCACTCCCTTCAACTATGAATCTTCTTACACGTTCACCCTCGTGGTGTCAAATTTAGTGGAATCTTCTTGATTATGTCGAATATTCTCCAATTTGTACCCGTTTACGCCATTCAAGCTCCAAATTTTCAAACAAGACAATCATAGATGTGCATCTTGGCTAGTAAAATATCAGATTGTGGTGCATCAGAAACAACATTTTTGCACAAAACGAGTACAAACTAGAGAACAATCCATATAATCTAGAAAATTATATTTAATTTGACACCATAGAAGTGGACGTGTAAGAAGATTCATAGTTAAGGAGTAATTGTAATTGCCCGAAAAAGAGGGGTTTTTCGTAATTTAACCTTTATGATGATGTTTTTTAAATTAAAAACTACTCCACAACTGAACAATGGCTAATCAAAGGGCGGGATGGTAAAAATGACATTTACTTAGGCCTTCTTTGGTTGGCAAGATAAAATTAGTTAAGATAAGATTAAATAATCTAATGAAATTCAATTATTTTATTGGAGTTTGCGATGTCCAACAAAAAAACTCACTGGAAGGCAAAATAAGCCAAGATAAGACAATATAAGCCATGATTATATAATTTTAGCTGGTCGACCAGCAATTTATTGGGGATACCAAATATCAAATTAAGTCCAATTATTTAGTTAATCATGAACCAGGGTCTTAGCATATGATCTGGCAAGAGAACAAATAAATGTTTGTCATAAAGTGTAATTTACCCTTTTATCTGAAACATGCAAATACTTATTTTTGTCATAAGAATGAGTTTATACCAAGATTTGGCCATGAAAAATAAATAAATAAATATACTTGATTGTTGTTTCTATTTGGTCTTGAAACTAGTTTCGAAGTTCTCGTATTTAAATTTTTATTTGAGGCAAGTTCATCATACGCTTTACAAATCAATCGACTAGATTGAATCAGTTGAGTCAGCTAATTTTAACTTAATTGACTGATTTGAATCAGTTTGTGTCAATTGATTCAAAGAAATTAGTAATCCAGTGAAAAGGCATACTAGCGTTTGAATTGTAGCATTTGGGAACGCGAGAGACTTTTCAAGAATATATTCGTAAAAAGGCGGATCGGAGCAAGATATGAATTTGATGAGCAATATATCAACCATGTATGTATATGAACTAAAGCCATTAAATAGACATGTAATCTAAAACTTCAAGCAAACAATCTAATTATTATCTATATTCGTCATTCGGAAAAGAAATAAAAAAGAAGAAAAGAAAAACCCCACCGGATCCGAGTCTAACATGCAAAAAAGGCAAAATCAGAGACAGGGCTTCGTCGCTTAGAACGTATGCTATAAAAAAGAGCGATATTTCCGAGCCAGAAGATAATTAGAATAAGGAGGCTTGTGACACCCACCCACCTCCACTGCTCCAATCTTTCCTTGTCTCTTTTTCGAAGAGATCTCGCATTGCTCTGCTCTGCCACCTCATCATCTGATGATGCCATAGATATATATATATGTCTTTGCTGTGACAATTTCAGAACAAAATAAAGATATTAAAGAAAAAATTATTCTCAAAATTAAAGTCCTCGATTTAATATATACATCCAACGTCTAATTACCACACGAGTCACCAAGATCAACAAACAATTAATTAACCAAGAAACTAATTTTAAATTTAAAAAAAAAATAATAATAATCGTAAGAAGGTACCTTAATGGTTGCTGGTTCAAGAAATCGGAGGAGAAATTATCAATTATATAAAGGAGAGATCTGCATGCATATTATATTAGGAGTTAATCTAAGAATATTTTCTTGCCATGTTTATTTATTTTTTATTTTTGATATTTCTTGCCATGTAAAAACCATATAGCTATTTTTGTACAATATATTATTTCTCCTATTATTGCTTGTAAATAATTTGTAAACAAATCTCTGGATTGTGGTTATGGCAGAGAGAGAGAGAGCTTACAAGTAATCACAATTGTTCAGCAATGTACAGATTGGGAATATGTGATATCTTATGCCAATCCTGCCCCTTTGCTCTCTCGCATCTCCTTTCCAATTCCGGGCATTTCTTCACTATCAGAAATCGGAGATTTTTCATTCCTCCGATACTAGCTGGAAGTGACGCTATCTTCGGGCATTCTTCTATGTACAGCTCTTCAAGAGAAGTCAAATCTCCCAACCAGTCAGGCAGTGAATTCAGCTCAGCAAGACCGGACAGTCTTAAAAACCGGAGTGAAGACGAGAGGCGTTGCAAGGCCTTGGGAAGAGACACCATCTTCGGAAGATCGCGTAGGTGTACTCTATTAAGGCAGTTATCGAGGTGTTTAATCCCGTCTGGCAGCTCTACAAGTTGCGGGCATTCAAATATTTCTAGCGTCTCCAGAGCAGTGAGGTGTCGCAGCCCTTGTTCTGGAAGAGAGAGCTCCTCCGTATCGGCTTTGTAAATAGCCAGCATCTTCAGATTTGTGAGGCTTTGCAGCATTTCGACTGTAATACTTGTCGCAACCGTACTATTCTCCTCAAAGTCGACTACCAGATGAGTGAGAGTTTCCAGGTCCGACTTGGACAATGAAGCCACTAGGAGTTTCCTGCAATTCAATCTCTTCAACTTTTTAAAACACGTTGAGAATTGTGGCAGTTTTAACGACGAGCAATCTTCAATGTATAGATGCTCAAGGTTTGGGAATGCTTCGGTTGATCTCGTCATCACTTGCTCTTTTATCAATCCTTTGATGTTGTGGAGAAACCTCAAGTACAGTGTTTCCAGAGACGGGAAATGTTGCGCGCTTATTAACGGATTTAGACTTTGAACTACTTCTTCCTCAATAATGTACTCGACTCTTGCCACATTAAGTAAAGTCAATGTCTTAAGATGAGGTAGCTCTCCCAGCTGTGGAAGATGTGAACAATTCACACAGTCTGATATACGAATCTCAACCACTCTCTCCAGAGTTGAATTCGACATCCAAAACGGGAAACACCTGCCGCCGAACCCACATATCACTAACGATTCAAGATTTGGGTGAGGTTCGAGTGCTTCCAGAACCTTCTCATGTATATCTATATCTTCCTCCCTTGCTTTTGGTACATACGAGTCATCACTTCCCCAATTCAAACACAAACAACCAAGATTTTCTTTTTCGGCAAGATTTGCCTTCTTTGCATCCGCAGGGTCTTTCACCCTATCCAGATAATTAATTTTAAGACGGCCGCCCAGCTTCAACCATTGCAATTCCTCAAGTCTAGTGCCATTGTTATAACCCACTATGAACAGACTCAGAGTTCTAAGGCAAGAAAGTTCTCTTGTTTTAGATGGCATCTCCCTTAATGATTTACAATCGTCCAAAAATAGATGACGAAGATTAGTTAAGTACCTCATCTTCTTCGGTAAAGCCTCGAGCTTTTTGCAGCTATCTAAGTTCAAAACATGCAAATTCCAGAGACTGCATAGTGAGTCAGGCAGGGTACGAATTCCAGTATGAGACAAATTCAAGTGTCGCAAATGTTTCAAATTGCCGACTGCAGAAAACAATTCATCTGTCCCTGTCTTACTCGCATCTAATATTCTCAAACGGAAAAAGTTGCTTAAGATGAATGACATGTCCATCTCTGGTTGGTTACTCGTAGGAAAGGCAACAAACTTTTTTCGCAAATTTACCTGGCGGATTTTACTGTTAGATGCACTTGTGACGACGTTTGCCGTCCTTGGGACGTGCGTTCCGGGAATTTTGTTCTCCATGATTGATTGGGCGAGATCATGAAGAAGATCGTGCATAATCAAATCGGGTTTTTTTGTAACTCGATTTGGAACATGTTGCAAAAGGGATCTCAAAACTAGCTCATTACATATATCATTGCCAACATCTTCCACTTCTAATGCTCCCCTTGATGAAATATATCCATGTGCCATCCACATGAAGATTAATTCTTCTTTTCGAATAAAAGTATCCTTCGGAAATGTAGCACAATAAGCAAAACACTGTCTCAAAGCTAAAGGAAGATGATGGTAACTCAATCTCAAGGCTGGCAGTATCAGAGTTTCTTCATGAGGTAATTCCCATATTTCACTTTCTTTCACATAAATCCATTGCTTCTCAGTCCTCTTGAACCGCAACAGACCTCCAAGCGCCTTAGCAGCCAAAGGAACACCAGCACACTTGTTCGCTATCTGCCTCCCAATTGCTTCGAGGTTGGGAAATTTCTCTTTCTCCTGTCCGAACGCGCGTTCTTGGATCAACATCCAACAATGCTCTTTCGACAGTCCCGTCAAGTAATGGGATGGGAGTGTTCTCATTATATCAGCAACTTTTTTGAGGCGTGTGGTGACGATAATCGAACTCCCTTTTGAGCCACACGACACAACGTTTTTCAACTGAGACCACTTCTCTTGATCATCGTTCCAAACATCATCCAATACAAGCAAGTACCTTTTGTTGTTCAGCAACTCCCAGAGGCGGTGTTGTAAAGCATCCAAGTTTGCTAAATCCGAAGCATTTCTAGTCCAAGATTCAATCATGGCTTTCAGCAAAGCCTTGACATCGAAATTGTCGGAGACGCAAACCCAAATTCTCTTGTCGAAATGGTCGACGACCCGTTGATCGTTGTAGACTAATTGAGCAAAAGTCGTCTTGCCAAGGCCTCCAACGCCAATAATAGGCAGAATGGAGAGTTCTTCACTGTCTCCCACACAGTTGACCAAGATGTCAATAATCTTCTCTGCGTCTTTTCCCCTACCATAAACTTTATGAGACTCGTTCAAACGGGAACCAGTCTCACGTACGGCAGCCGCCTCGACTGGCCTCTCGATAGCAATCTCGCGCAAGTGAAACTTTGTGCGCTCTGCAGCAACTGCGTCCAATTGTTCTATGACTTGCTGGATTCTTCTTCCAGTTTCTCGCCGAAAAATTATATTCTTCAGATTAAAGAGACCGATTTTGCTGTTGTTGTGCTTCAATTTTGAGATTTTTGTTGCATACTCATCCAATATGTCATCGATCTCATAGATAAGGTCATTGAGCTTGAGTAGCCAGTTTTGTATGGCCTTGCTTTCAATCTGCTTCATTTCAGCATCTTCGACCACAGCTTGGATGGTGGTTAGAGTGTCGGAGAGCTTCTTCATCTCCTTACCCACACCGGTAATCCGTACGTACTCATCATAGATTAACGTGCTCAGTTTTTCAAGAACTGTTGTAAGGAATGCCTCTGCCATTTCTGAACTATAATTGAAATGCAGAACAACTTCGAGATTTTTTTTTTTTTTTTTTTACTTTTTTTTTGTTAATTGTTTGGAAATCGGAAATATGCAGATTTTGATGTATCAGAGCACATGCATATTTTCAACGTTGCAGTGCGGCTTTTAGAGTCAAACAAGAAATTGCTATGTTAGTAATAAAATAATGTGGTCGGCTGAAAATACTAATATTTTGCTTAAATAAGTTGATATATCTAACGAGTACTCTTGCTAGTCAACAGTTGCAGAAAGTCTTAATAAAAAATAAAAAAATTTAATAACTTAATAAAAATTAAAAAATAAACAAAATATAATTTTACATATTGGCTACATACAATAATATTTCAACTCCCTAAAAGAAAGAAATATGTAAGAACCAAGTATAAAAGCAAGTGAAGAATTGTCTAACCTTGTAATCAATCCACATCAATGAACTCAATTTGTTTGTTTAAGATTCTAACAAAAAATCAAACAGATTCATTCAAACTGCTGCCCCAAAGCTCTCCACCTTAATTTAACATTAATATAAACATTATCAACTTCTTATTCAATTCGATAGGAAGGAAATGATAGTTAAACAAGTACTTGTCCAACAACATATGAGCAAAGTCGAATTAGAAATTCTCACAAGATTTCATACACAAAACCAATGGTATTAAAATTTGTCGAGATCGTGATATAGCTCTACGAACAGAGAGAGAAAGAAAACTTACCAGTTGCATTGCACAAGAATATTCTGATGATAACCAAAGTCGAGCAAGTCAACAATCGCAGTCTCGGAACAAATTAGAAACGAATTGCATTTGAGAGATCATCTAGTTCTTGATGAACTAACTTCATGGACCCTCCTCATTCTTTGGTTTTACTGCGATAGTGAAAAGTCGCTTTTCTCAATCTGGAGAGAGAAACAAAGGCAAAGATATAGCAGAAAATAGTGACAATTTGAATTTCGATTTAAACAATGATGTATGTTAAAAGATAATAGGCAAAACTTTATGCAATAGTGACAAATTATGCCCCATTCTCTGTTATCTCTATTCTAAATTACAATTTATACAAGCTGATGTAGCAGAAATTATATATTATTGTTAGTGGTGCACGATTTCTATTCTCCACAAAGATTGAAATGTGATATCATAAAGCAGTAATTAAACATCAGCAAGAAACACGAGTGATATGGAGGTAGATAATCGGAAAATCTAAAATATAACAAAACATATTATTACCTCGAGCCACTTCTGCAAGGCGAGTGTCACATATAAACAATAAAAACCAACGAACACTTTATATCCAGTTGGTTATAAGTTACAACGGTAACATGTTTCATTCACCAGTAATTACCACAAGAGCATTCCCCATCCTTAAAATGATGAAACCTCTTCACATCCCTCACAATAATCTCCCTACCCTCCGCTTTCGACATGAACTTAACCGCATTATGACAATCCCCACAAATCCGAAGGTTCTTGAATATTCTTATAGTGGCTCCTTTCGGAAGTTTTAGCAGCCCATAAACAACAGCTAACTTCTCACTATGAGTAGACAAAGCATATTCTTTTTGCTCCGACTCCATATCATGCAGTATGTATTTAGTGTCCGGAATATACCCTAACTTCCTCAACCTCAGTACCAACTCCGCCATGTAACTGTACACCGCCAGCACTTCAGGGTGCACAGTGTCGTCGACTAAAAATACGTGAACTTTATTTTCGACCTCGAGCCAACTACACCCAGGCTCCTTTTTCACCCCCCGCCCCCTCATGAATTTCCGCACCGTCGCCACGTCATCCCATCTTCCTGCAGTGGCGAACATGTTTGCTAGAAGTATATACGAGCCATCGTTTTGTGGGGTCATCTCAAAGAGACGTTCGGCAGCTTCGACACCTAAATCCATGTTTCCATGTAGACGGCATCCAGAAAGTAAAGCTTCCCAAATCGATGCTCCGGGCTCGAAAGGAATATTCCGAATCACGTTTTCAGCTTCGGTTAATTTTCCGGCTCGGCACAGTAAATCGATCAGTCTCGCGTAATGATCTTCGCCTGGAGATATTCCGTATATTTCATTCATGGAATTGAAGTGCTGTTTTCCTTGTTCGACTAAACCTGCATGGCTACATGCAGAGAGGACTGTGAGAAACGTTATCCGATCAGGCAATATTCTTTCTTCCAACATCTCTTCGTAAAGTTGCAGCGCTTGATTTCCATGTCCATGTTGTCCAAGGGCTGCTATCATTGCATTCCAAGACACAGAATCCAGACAAGGCATTGTAAGAAACACACTGTAAGCAGCATCGAGTACACCGCATCGTGCGTACATTGTAATAAGAGCATTACCAGCTGAAAGGCTCGAGTCGAAGCCGAGCCGAATAAGCTGACCGTGGAGCTGGCGGCCTTGCTCTAAAGATGCAAGTACGGCACACGAGGTAATGGCTCCTGAAAATGCGTAGTCACATGGTTCAAGACCGTTTGACTTCATTTTGCTGAAGAGTTTCAAAGCTTCTTCACCCGAACCGTGTTGTGCTAATCCAGATATCATTACTGTCCAAGATAACATATTTTTCTCAGACATTTCGTCGAAAATGGATTTTGCCTCATGGATTTTCCCCTTACTCACGTAGGCTGATAAAATTGCGTTCCACGAAATAAGATCCTTGATGGAAATTGAATCAAAAATACTTCTTGCTTGTTCAAGTTCACCGCATTTCCAATATAACGTAATAAGGGCATTATTTACAGACACCATAAAAGCCCATGCTGGTTTTGCCTCCGTTCGTAATATGTACGCGTGAACTTGCTTACCGTGAAGAAACAACCCAGCATCAGCACAAGCACTGAGGACATTGGTATAGGTAAAATCATCGTGCTTAATACCCAAAGAATGCATACTTCTAAACATTTCAAACACTTTAAAAACGAGCCCTTTCTGAACGTAACCAGAAATCATGGCATTCCATGCCACCACCAATTTCTCATCCATACCGTCAAAAACTTCTTTAGCAGAATCAAGATCTTCGTTCTTCACATACCCTGTGATTATTGTCGTCCACGACAACTCATCCTTTTCCGGCATAACATCAAATAACTTCCTGGCTGAAGCCATCAATGAAGAGGATGATGCCAGTGGAGAGAAAGCACACTTGACGTACACTGAAATGAGTGCATTCACGACGGAAGTAACTAAACCAGTACCTGATTTGACCACAACACAATGCAGCTGGTGACAATGCCTCTCACGGTCCGCTATAAGTGCCAAAGCTGCAAGCACACTCGTGTATGTAAAATTATCTGGTTTGAAACTCATTTGTCTCATTTCTTTAAAAAGTTGAATAGCAGCATGGCCATCGTTGTTATGGGAATAGCAAGTGATCATGGAGTTATAGCAAACAGTGTCGCGGATTCTTAAAGGGGTTTTGTCGAATATCTCTCTGGCCAACTTTGGATTTCTAGAAGACGAGTATGCCGCAATTAAAGTGGTTCTTGCAACGACATCTGGTTCAGGAATTTCATCGAACAGTTTTTTTGCATAGTTAAAGTTGGAAGATTTGCAGTAGATATCAATCAAACGGTTAAGAATGTGGGCACGTGGAGTGAACCCAGAAACAATCATGTGGGCATGGATGCAAAGAGCAGGAGTGTACTGAGAAGGGCCACGTTGGCAGCAGAGCTGAAGCTTGGCGGCATAGTTGTTGGCGGCTGAGCTCAAATCCGCGGCTCGGCGGAGGTGCTGAGCAGGGTATAATGATTTGGCGGCGGCATTATTCATATTAAAATATTAATTAATAACGATGATCGGACATAGGAATATGAGCTCCTCATTAGCTGAAGTACATATCCTCCGGTGAGAGAGAGCGCCGCTGCCGCCGCCGCTTGTTGAAGAGACGCAGACTTGCTTGAAATTCTTAATTTATTTTGACTTTGCAAAATAAAGATTACTTACTTTTGAACCGGTTTCACAATTCAATTTCACTCGATTCAAAATATTAAGTTAATTCATCATTAAATATTAATTTTTAATTTAAAGAATTTAGTACAATTAATTAATAATGCATAATCAAAATTGGGAAAATTATAATTTTGGTCCTCTAAGTTGTCTTACTTCAATTTTACATGCAACAATTATGCAAAATTAGTATTTTTAGTCATGAATGATGTACCTAACAAACTCGCAGAAAATTATAAATGTACTTAACAAACTCGCAGAAAATTATGGGTCTATTAGATATAACCCCCTTAGACATTCAAATAATAGGGGTAGACCCAAACTTAAATTTGCCATTTTGATAAAAACCCAAACTTTTCTAAATTACATAAGTACCCTCAATCAAATCTCACAAATCCCGTTACTTTACCTTTTAAAATAATATCTAATATATATGGAAACTGAATAATATGTTTGTTTGAAATACTAATCAATTAGGGTAATTTTCCTTATTATATGAAAACGATTAGGGTAAATAATAATATATATGAAAAAATAATAATATATATGGAAACTGAATACTATGTGATATGCCTAATTGGGCCAACCCAATGGGCCTACAATTTCTTTACCTACTGGGCTACGAGCCCAATATCGAAGACTAATATCACCGAGGCCCAAACACCTTCAAGTAAGGCTTGGGCCCAACAAAGCAAACTCAACCCAATAAACGACATATAAATAGAGGTTTTCCTCATTTTATTAAGGTACGTCCTATTAACTGAGTAATACTATCAACTGTATTCTCTGGACTATTTTCCACTATCAGCACGTCTGACTTGAGCGTCGGAGGGGTTTCCGCCGGATCAACCCCCGGCGTAGTTCACGTGTGCTCATTTCGCAGGTACCTCAGGATCATCAAGTTGTCAAGCTACTGATCCGCTTTGCTCTCCCAGTTCGTTTTCTACACTACCCCAGGTGATCTAAGTAATTAGCATCATCATTTTGGCGCCGTCTGTGGGAACGATGCAAACCAGATCACGTAGCCAACAAGATCCTCCTGAGGCGTCTGCTCGGAGATAAAATGACACAGCTAACGACCTCCCACCTCGTGGAGGCTCTGGCTTGCCACTTCCTCCACGTCCCATGGATCCGCCTCGCGAGGTTCAGGTGATCCCCCCTCGGGACTCACCACTCGCCGATCCACCACTCCCTGCTCCTCGAATGGTTCAAATAACCGAGGATGCGTTCCAACGCATGATAGCAGAAGCTTCAACTCGCGCTGCCACAGAGGCCGTGACCCAATATATCGCCACGATGGTAGCAAATGCTCCCAACGTGATACCAACATCTGCTCCACATGTGGAGCCACCTATGGCACCACCGCCATCGACTCCCTGGGGGCTTACATCTGCCCCCAAAATATTTCGTTCGCCAAGGGTTATCGACTCCCTGGGGGCTTACATCTGCTCCCAAAATATCTCGCTCGCCAAGGGTTATCGACTCCCTGGGGGTATACAATGCCTCCAAAACATTTCGTTCGCCAAGGGTTATCGTCTCCCTAGGGGCTTACATCTGCCCCCAAAATATTTCGTTCGCCAAGGGTTATCGACTCCCTGGGGGTTTATAGTGCCCCCAAAATATTTTGTTCGCCATGGGTCATCGACTCTCAGGGGCCTACTTCCGCCCCCCCTCGAACGGTTCAGATAACCGAAGAGGACCTTCAGCGTATGATCGCCGAAACTTCAACAATATCAACTTCTACTTGCTCCTCTAACGGTTCAGATAACCGATAAGGACCTCCAGCATACGACAGCGAAAACTTCAACTCGTGTTGTCACTGAAGCAAACGACACAACCGTGTGCATCCACCTTAGACCATAGGTCTCGAGCGCCTCATCCTACAGTGGGTAGTTAACCAATCCCAAGGTTGGGCATCACCCTTACCTTACAACCCCAAGTGGGTTCACATCACATCTCAAAAAACGAGTATAATCTCCCTACTCAAAAAATATAACCTTCCAAGGGGTGAACATCAACCATCAAAGTAAAAAAATCAAAGAAGATGAAAAAATACAACAACAAGAAGAAGAAAAAAGAGAGCAAAAGAAGAAAGAGAGAAGAAAAAAAAAAAAAAAAAAAAAAAAAGTGCTTAAAAATCACGCGCGCGTGTAGTACACGCGCGCCGCCCTTGGTTCGCGCGCGCGCTGGAGGGAAAAAAAAAAAAAAAATGAAAAATGGATGCAGCGCGTGCAAAGCACGCGCGCTTGGGGCAGCGCACATCTGCAAAAGGCGCATCGATCCGCGCGCGGGAGTAAGACAAAATAAAAATATCGATACCACAGGGACCTTACAGTTATTTAAGCTTACCTCAGCGGGGTGTGTGTAGTTTACCCAAAAAATAAAGAAAAGAAAAGAAATTGAAGAGCAATCACGTGACACCTAGTCACCTACCATTCACTCTCTCTCTCTCCTACAAGTGCACGCTCCCCCATAAAGTCCCAACTCCCCATAGCTCATCACTCTCTCTCTCTCCTGGCATTAAATGCTGCCAACTTCTCAAAGGCTGCCACCGCGCGCGATCCAAAGTACCGCGCGTTCCAATGTGCGCGCACGTTCTTCCAAGCGCGCCGTCTCCTACTTTAGAGCGCGAGCAACTTTCGCTATTCTCTACCAAATTGTGCGGAGATTTCACCTCGCTTCACCAAATCGTGCGAGAATTTCAACGCGCTCCACCAAATTACGCGAACTCTCCAACGCGACTAGCCAATTCGCGCGCGCTCTCAAACGGATAAATAAAAAAAAAAAAAAAAAAAAAAAGAAAAAGGTATCTCACACGCGCGCGCCTCCCAAGGCCTTGTTGGAGCGCGCGCTCCCATCTAATTGGCACAATTTTCACCGCCCTCTACCAAATTGCGTGTAGATTTTGACTCGCTTCACCAAATCGTGCGAGAATTTCAACGCGCTCAACCAAATTGCGCGAGCTCTCCCGCGCGCCTCACCATAACGCGCGCCTCCCAAGGTAACCTTGGAGCGCGCGCTCCCACTTAATTGGGCACAACTTTTACTACTCTCCACCAAATTGAGCGTAGATTTCACCCCGCTTCACCAAATCGCGCGAGAATTTCAACGCGCTCAACCGAATTGCGCGAGCTCTCCCGCGCGCCTCACCATAACGCGCATGCTCTCACACGGATAAAAAAAAAAAAAAATATTTATCCACGCCATGCCAACGATTAACGCAAGACTACAATACCGATCTACTCTCAATACGATCCGGTACCCCTTTCAACTTGGCTCCCACATCATCTCGAGAGTGGGGGGCTTGCGAGACAACTCCCACGAGGAGCCAACTCGCTCAGTACTACCACCCGCAGCGAGATAACTCCCATGAGGAGCCAATTCCCTCGGGTCTACGAAACCATAGCGAGATAACTCCCACGAGGAGACCACTCGCTCCGTCCTATAACCCGTTGCGAGGTAATTCCCACGAGGAGCCAACTCCCTCGGGTCTCATAACCATAGCGAGATAACTCCCACGAGGAGACCACTCGCTTCGTCCTATAACCCGTTGCGAGGTAACTCCCACGAGGAGCCAACTCCCTCGGGTCTCATAACCACAGCGAGATAACTCCCACGAGGAGACCACTCGCTCCGTCCTACAATTCGCAGCGAGATAACTCCCACGAGGAGCCAACTCGCTCCGTACTGCAACCCGCAGCGAGACAACTCCCACGAGGAGACAACTCGCTCGGCCATACAACCCGTTTCGAGATAACTCCCACGAGGAGACAATTCGCTCAGAGCGACCTCAGTCCGCGCGTTCCTCAGTCGCGCGCCATCCGATGCTCCTACAACTCCCTTGCGAGACAACTCCCACGAGGAGCCAACTCGCGCAGTAATACAACCCGCAGCGAGACAACTCCCACGAGGAGACAACTCGCTCGGTCCTACAACCCCTTACAAGGAAACTCCCACATGCAACCACCTCACTCGATAAATATTACTCACCGCGAGACAACTCTTATGAGGAGACAACTCGCCCGAAATTCACTATATAATCACAAGCTCAAGTTAGCACGATTACAACCCTAGAAGCACTTAGAGACATTATGAGAATCTATATAGCCTGGCCAGCTTGATTACTCAAATTTATCTACTTGTTTTCGATGGGTCATTCATTAAAACGTGGCCACGGTCCAAACATACTTAAGACCCACGAGGTCTAACAAGGGGCACGACCCCTATAAAAAAAAAATCTTGAGAGTCTGATCCCCTCCTCAAGTACATCACGCACAAGGCTATATGTAAACACATATAAGCAACGCGTCAAAACATTGACTATATCGAAAAATAACAACTCCCACGAGGAGAATACTAGCTCCGTGCTACTACATTATCGTGAGACAACATCCACGAGGACGTAACTCGATCAACTCGATTACCCTAGAGACAACTTCCACGAGGACGTAACTCGATCAACTCGATTACCCCAAAGACAACTCCCACGAGGAGATTACTTGATCCGTGCTACTACATTATCGCGAGACAACTCCCACGAGGAGATAACTCGATCAACACTATTACCCCGCGACAAGACAACTCCCACGAGGAGATAATTCGCTACTACATCGTCGCGGGACAAAACCGACGACTCAATTAACTTTCATCGCGACAACCTTGTCGCGCTATGCGCCAACGCGCATTCACGCCCCTCCGACATACGCTCCAACGCGTTTTCGCATACCATTAGGCCATACGCCAATGATCGACTTCTACAATTTTTACTCTCGACACGATTTGAGACCCATCACAACATGGCCCCCACATCGACTCGAGAGTGGGGGGCTTAATGATATGCCTAATTGGGCCAACCCAATGGGCCTACAATTTCTTTACCTACTGGGCTACGAGCCCAATATCGAAGACTAATATCACCGAGGCCCAAACACCTTCAAGTAAGGCTTGGGCCCAACAAAGCAAACTCAACCCAATAAACGACATATAAATAGAGGTTTTCCTCATTTTATTAAGGTACGTCCTATTAACTGAGTAATACTATCAACTGTATTCTCTGGACTATTTTCCACTATCAGCACGTCTGACTTGAGCGTCGGAGGGGTTTCCGCCGGATCAACCCCCGGCGTAGTTCACGTGTGCTCATTTCGCAGGTACCTCAGGATCATCAAGTTGTCAAGCTACTGATCCGCTTTGCTCTCCCAGTTCGTTTTCTACACTACCCCAGGTGATCTAAGTAATTAGCATCATCACTATGTTTGTTTGAAATACTAATCAATTAGGGTAATTTTCCTTATATCGTGTAATAGACTATCTTATTGATCTAATTAGACTATGGATCTCGTTAATCGACTATGGATCCCGTATTATTCAACCACATAGTATATTAATAATTTCAATATAGTACATTAATCTGCTATGATAGTATATTACGGTTATAGTAGTGATATGAAATTGTGTTACAAACAATATACTACTGAAATGACAAGAACATTGAGAACAAAACCAACGTAAAGTATTCCAACATAACCAATAAAATAGTACATTAATAATCTCATAATTTCAATCTAGGGTTTTGATAAAATACATAAAACACCTCATAACACAATCAAACCAATATGTCGAGTTAAAAAACTCTAGTACATTAATAATCTCATAATAGTATAATAAAATGATAATGGTAGTATCATACGGTATTCATAATAGTATACTATTGTATTACAACGGTTTAACACTTAACCGAAGTTACCGAGCCATTACATCGTAAACACCTCTTTATAGCAACCAACCCACCAAACCTCAACAAAATCCGTACGAAATTCGCCATCGAAAAAACCTAAAATCATGAAACAAAATAAAAAATGCAGAATACTAAAAAATGATTAAATAGACTGCAAATACATTTGAATGACAATACATTAATATCATCAAAAATAACCTTAAAATGCAAAATCCATACGCTAAATTAAAAAAAGACTACGAAATATATTTTAATGTACTACCGAGCACACTAAAATCGACTGTTGTAAATAAATAAACCAACTATCAATATGGATCAAACTCATGAACTCGACCACAGCAGACATTTATTTCGATTATTGCATAAACCAACTACGGCGCTCAAATAAAACAACTCTGGTCTGACTGCGTGAACCATCCTCTTATAACTCTGTGAATCCTCTTCCAAACAAACATCATCAGCCAAAAATAACGATGTATATGTGACGACGTAATTTTGTTAAAAAACGTTCTATTCAATAAAATCAAGTATCAACACAACTCTTAAAAATGTCTAACCACCGTACACGACAACCCTGAACATACAGCGAAAATTAAAAACGAAAAAAAACGCATTCATACCTGCTTAACAACGTACAACAATGAACGCTCAAATCCGATCCTATTTCCACGCCGGTGAAAAAATCTTCAAAGACGATAGAAAAACGATGAAACGCTGGAGAAAATCTTCAAAACAGATTGTACACGATTTGATAGAAACGGCCAATAAACTCACGTAAATTTATTCCGTGATTTTAGGCAACGTATCAGCAAATCTCATATCACGTAGTTAAGGAAATAAATGCCGTTCAAAAATAAAACAGGGGTATTAAAGGGAAATTATATAATATATTTTGCCAAGTTGGCAAATTTGGGTGTATCTCAAAAATGGAAAAATTAATTGGATCTACCTCATTAGAAAATATGAACAAGGGGGTTATCCCTAATAAACCCGAAAATTATTTATATGGACACTTGAAAATTATAAATGCTCCTCCAATTTGGTTTATAGATTCTCGTCTCACATAATTAAAGTTCTACCAATAGTAAAATTAGATGTCGAATTTATCGATTTCCAAGTTTATTTGCCGCTTCATAAAATTAAAAATCATGCAAAATAGGACTAAAAATACTATATTTGCAATGTTATTGCATGTAAAACTGAAACATGACAAGTTAGAGGGCTAAATTCTTAAATAGACCAATATAGAGGACCAAAACTACAATTTTTCCATCAAAATTTAAGCATAAGATAATAAAATTAATGTAAAAGCAAACAAAAAATTTAATTTTATTAGGTAAAATTCGATTTTTCGACATTTATTTTAATTTTACGATTTTTATATTGAATCAAACAATGAGCACACGCCTCTTACTGCAATAACTTATTTTCTCAATTTTACAACAAAACAAGAAAATAAATAAATTGGAATTCTTGAAACAAAACTGAGTTTATTACAGTCAGTCAGTCGACTCGTTCTAAAGGACTAGATGGATTTCAAACTTGGGTCCGACAAAATGACGAAACTGAATGAATAAAACGGCATCTCAAATTCCAAGATTGGCAAATAGTGGTAGTCGTAGCGCCTCAAAACGTGAATAAGTGCGTGCATTTCTTCTAGAAGGGGGTCGTTCCGCTAGAAGGTGACGACATCACAGAAAGTATATCAGTCACAGAAGTCATCGCGCATAGAGCAGCTTTAAGAACGTCCGGCGAACATCCTGGTTTCACTATCGAACGCACCTGCAGAGAGAGAGAGAGAGAGATTAACAATTGTTCACTACAAAAATGAAGTCAAACAAATGATGAATGATGATTCGAGCATGCATTCGAACCTTATCGAGGTATTCTTGTAATTTCTTGATACGGCCCATGTAATCCTGATCTTCGACACAGAGAGTAACTGGCTTCGCATCAGCACCAGGCCCATCAAACTGTAGAGGTCCCGGGTTTCTGTATACATCGTCCATCAAAAACTTGGTTGCATTTTGTCTCAATAACCTAGTCAACAAATACGAAAAATGAATTTTTAACCAAATTTGAAGATTAAAAAATAATAATAATAAAAAAGCACAAGGGATAATGACGATATTAGTAAGACATACTCGTAGGCCTTCCCCTTCAAATCAACAGTTGCTGGATGAAGAGCTGGTTTTCCAAGGTTCGAAGCCCCATGACCACGGCCGTAGCGTTTAACAGTCAGCATAGCCTGGGAAGGAATTACAACTCAACCATTGAACTATAATTTTAATTTTTTTTTTTGGTTTATTAAAATTACGAATTATTATTGCATGTAAAATCAATCTCTCATGCAGGTTTAGGACTAGGAAACGTACCGTTATAGGAGCAGCAGCACAACGCCACTTGTTGAGAGGATTCTTCAAATTGGTTACAGTAGCCATGTAACCATTCAAACCAGCAGCGATTATGTGATAGCCAATATGACCGAGCACCTGTAATAACGTCACCATTCGCGAGTACTGTTACAAACCGTAAAAGCAGAAATTTGAATCAACACGGTAGAACTTACGTAGGCGTAGTCACAGTCAAACTTTGATGGCAATGACCCACGGGCTTGATAACCGAAGAAATGGCAAATGGCATTGAATTTTTTGCCTTTGTAGGTTCCTTCTTTCTGTACAGCAAAATGAGATGCATAAAACTAACTTAAGCTTCATTGAGTCACTTGAATTAATTTGGATACGAAAGAACTAGATTAAGTTGGTTCATCTGTCCTTCGCTTGTACTCGACTTTTTATAGCAGGTGAATGCATCTACTATGCTCTAGAAATAGCGTGCAGAAGGTGAAGAAATTATGTAAAAAGATGGGGAAACAGTTTCCACATACGAGATAATGGATATATATATATATATATATATATATATATATATATATATATATATATATATATATATATATATATAATCTTACCAATCGCTTGTTCATTTCTGCTTCAACGAGATGAGCTAGGAGCTTTTCCGTCTCAATCTGTCAAGTTAAGGATATTAATTAAAAACAAATAAATCTGGAGAATAAAACATTCTTCGAACAATAAGAGGCATATTTAATTCAAGTACCTGAGACAGCTGTGCAGAGTCATCTGATTCCGGGTGGAGAAGGAGCTGTCACATAGTATTTAATTTAACTACATCGTAAGCAAGATAATGCAAAAACGTGAAATAAGCTTCTCAAGCTAATGCAAACGAGTACATAAAGATGTACCTGTTTTCTTATAAATGGCGGGAGGAATTCAAACAACGCAGATGCCCAAGGTGACAGTTGAGCAGAAATATTATCAGCAGAGACACCTACCTTGATCAAACCATGAATTTCCTGGGAGACGAAAGATCTAATTATTTTGCTCAATTTTAAAAACGAAACTATTACGCAAAACGTAACCAGTCAACATTCGATAAATCAGAGTTTATTTTGGGTAAAGGAGAATGAGGCTTCTCTACTTATTCTAATAAACAAGCCAAGATGGGGAAAGAGGATAAAAGTAAATACAAAAACACAATACAAAAAAAAAAATACTAGAAATATTAATACCTGCAATAAAGCATATACTTCAGGAATGCTTTCTATAAGTCCCTCTGGCAAAAGGATGACACCATGGTGCTTATCTGAAGCAATGAACTCGTTAGGAACCAATACTTACACAAAATAAATATAATAACAACGGAAGCATTTGATGTGGTCTACCTTGTTCACCCCGGGCTTGAACTGCATCACATAATTGTTTTGTAATGTCAAAAAGTGTGAGCTTCGATGAAGCAACCTCTTCAGCGAGAATGACCTGGAAGAACATTCAAAGGTCTTTATAAGATGTGTGAACAAATCAAATGGCCCCATTCTATAACAAAAAAAATCAAAATGAAATGACGAAAGGAATCGGTACAAACCATATTGGGATGGGACTGAAGAGTACATTCCAAGGCAACATGAGATGCCTTTCGGCCCATTAGTCGGATAAAATAATAATACTGCAAGTAGATAGGGAGAATTAAAAACATGGTCAGCAAGAAAGTAAAATAAAAAGTAACATATAAATGAAAAACACAAGGCAGTAGTAATAAGTAGCAGAACTCTAGAGATTCTTCCAGCTGGAAACACCAATACAAGATGCAAACGTGCACTGAAGAATAATTTTACCTTCTCTGCAGAGAGTGCATCAGTGCAGACATTGCTAATTAGCTGGGAATTAACCTGAAACAAGTACAAGAAGTCTCATTCGTTTCATTTCCTCGGAAAAAAAAAGGATCCTCCTAGTGGTTTTAATTCAAATTAGTGCAATAAACGACGAATAATAAAAAAAGGAAACAGATCTTTTATGAGCTGACACAACAAAATTGTTCAGATAATTTTGAGTACCTCCTTCAGAGAAACAGTAAAATGGCAATATGAATGTAAGATAGGGGTGGGGTAAGGAAAATCCGACCTTGTAGATTATATTAGTAAGAGAGAAGAGAAACGAAAAATATGCATATACATGAAACACCAGAGAAGTCTTTTTTACCTTACATATTGTGTCAAAACCCACATTTGTCTCAACAAATTGGTTTTTGAGATCTCCATTTAAAGTAACAGGAATGCCGACAACCTGCCAAAATTTTACCACATACTTTGTCAACAATGGTTTTGAAAATCTGAAGAAAAGCAACAGAAACATTATAGGAGTTCTAGTAGTTAGGACTTGGGCATTCAAATACAAAGGCTATAATAATATCATCGACATGACATAATTTAGATGAAAGAAAGAATACAAAATTAAGGCAACATTTGACCATTTATACAATGCCATGGGATGTACCTTTGTCGGGCACTTTCTTTCTGCAAAAGTTTCTGCAAGCTGGGCTGCATCCGTATTTGATGTCACACCTTAACCAACCAAAAAAAGGGAATGTCAGAAAAACTGGCATTACTTACATCCCAGATTATCAGAAAACATATGAAGAAACATTATGCGAGATACCTCCAATAATTACAAGGGCGTCCAGCTTCAATGTTGTGCACGCCTTAAGCGATGCATTCACCTGCTCGGTTGTTCTAATTTGATCTTTTGTCCGTCCCAGCAAATCATAACCGCCTTCGAAACATAAAAACGAAGAAATCATAATTTTGTGGAAGCAACAGAGCAATATATACATATATAAAGACATATAACTCTATAACCCTGAACTACCTTGATTTTTGTAGGTCGCAAGAATCTGATCAGTGATCTCCAACGTTTTCTGTGCAAATAAACCTTCAGAACCACCTGGTAAGACATAATAAAAATTTAGATGTTAATCTTCCCTAAAGTAGAGCTGACCCGCAACAGGGAAATCTGCAACTATGATTTAGAAAAATATAAGTAAAAGACAACATGATAATTAAAGAGCTACCAGATAACTAACTGGCTGACGAATAAAACAACAGAAACCACTAAAGGGAGTGTAACCGAATCTAGAAACAGAAATTCAAGCATAAAAGTTGAGAGGATGACATCGTAAATTTCTTACCAAGAAACCCTAACAATGTACTCTTGGGATTGTGAACTTTTAGTGCGTCAAGAAGACCCCAAATAACATTGTGTCCTCCAGGAGATTGTCTACCACAGAAAACAACCCCCACCCTAAAAAAAAAGGAAAATTCAATGTGTGGTCATTGTAGTTAAGTGGATAAAAGACATGAGTTTTCATCATAGAGTCGATATAATAGCAAATGATCATTGCATGGTAAAGAACTTTCGGAGCTGCATATCCAGTGGGATTAATACCTAACTGCAGGATGGTCAGTAATTATTTGTGCATCGGGAACCTTAGCAGATGCCCTTAGGAAATGCGCTATAGGCTGACCATAAGTGTGGGGAAACGACCTACTGATTGTATGGGCACCTAAGGGGTCCGCAGCTGTGGTGACATCACCAAACTCTACGGAAACTGTAGTACCCTGTCCAAGACATATTAGGCAACAGAGATTAAGAATATGGTCTATAATATAGCCTGAGCCGCTTGTGCTTAAATCTACAAGTGAGGGGCAAAGATGTCAAAATAACAAATTACCAATTTGCATGCAAAAACAATGATATGATCTATCCACGATAACAGAAATCTACAAACAAGATCCAAAATGAGGGATCAAAATAAAAATAAAAAATTACCAATTTTAATTTTGCATGAAAAAATTAATCATATTAAATATAGCGAACTACCAACCCTCATTAGGAGAGTTGGTACCTAGCCCTTACCAATAGGGTAAAGGTCTAGGGTTCGAGTCCCCCCTCCCCTACTTCCCCTTGTAATGGACTTGAATTTACTCAAAAAAAAAAAATATAGCGAACTGAAAACAGAGAAATACTTTTATTGCTCAAATGGCATCAATAAAAAAAAGCATTATCAGCCATGTTGATGAAATTTGAGATTTTAATTCAAAATTAGGAAATGGATATGTATGCATCGATTTTAGACTAGCCATAGAACTATATTAAACTAAAGAAATTGAAAATACAAAATAGCAGTATGTATATGTGTATGCATTGATTTTCGACTAACCATAGAACTATATTAACTAACGAAATTGAAAAATACAAAATCCCAGTATCATTTGTTATTGCCAATCACATTGGATTGAAAGCAAGAAACTACATTGCATCAAAACCCGAGGAAAAAAGAAAAATACCAAATCAACACGGTGCACACAGATCTATTAGCAAACACATAACGCACAGTTAGCACAGATTTATCCGCAAAAAACGCCAAGAAATCACATTTTCAGAAAAAAACAATCCACTAATAATCAAAACCTATAGAATAGCAGAGAAACCATGAAAAAGCAAAATGGAGATAAAATAAAAGCAGAATCGGAAACCTGGAGGCAAGGAGGAAGTTCTGGTTGGTAGTGAGATCGAAGCTTCTGCAGATCAGAAAGTTCTCTCGCTGTTCCGTAATCGGAATCCATCTCTCTACTCAATTGATTTAATCTCTGCACGGAAGTGAAATGTATGTGATTATACTACTACTACACACAGTCACCTACTACTTCAACTCTGTTTCTCACTCTACATATATATATATATATACCATGGGAACTTGGGAAGGGGCGATACGATCAATCATTCAAGCCACCGATTTAGGCTTCCGCAGACTAACCTCATTGCTACTTCACTGTAGATTGACTAAAATACCCTCATCGTGCTTACTATTTTTTGAGGAAAAATTACGGTCACCACAGTAATGTTAAATTACGAAAAAACCATCTTATTTGGGTAATTACAACCACCCAACAACTATGAATCTTCCTACACGTCCACCCCAATTGTTTCAAATTCAACGTAATCTTCTATATTTCGTGAAATATATAATATTCTCTCTAGTGTGCACTCGTTTTGTACAAAAAATGTAGTTTCTGACATATGATATTTAGATGCTAAAAGACACATCTCATGATCATCTTGTTCAAAATGTGGAGCTCGAATGGGGTAAAATGGGTACAAACCTGCAGAATGATCCACATAATCTAGAAGATTCCACTAAATTTGACATGGACGTGTAAAAAGATTTATAGGTGAAGGGTAGTTGTAATTACCCACGCATGAAAGATTTTTTTTTTTTTAATTTGATCTTACACCAAAGGATTGATCATAATTTAACCTTTTTTTGATTGACTAAAATACCCTCATCGCGCTTAATACACCATTTTGTTAAAAAAGAGGCTGATGCGAGCCCACGACACGTAGATCCCACCTAGTCCACGGACGAACAGGCCCTCCCGCGTAGCCCTTTCATTTATTTTCATATAGGAGTACATTTTTTTTTAATATCACATGTGTGAATCATTCAGACATTACACTAGACGACTATACCGCAGTTCACACCCTGCCCATGAGCTCACCCACCAAAAATGTGTAAAATAGGTTTGAATATCGAGTTCATGGTCGGGTGGGCGGATAGGATCGGTCACCCATTTCCATTGAACAGCACTAGTAGACACTTGGAAGTGCATTTCGACGAGCTCGATGTACAAAGTGTTGGTAAAGAAGTTCGTATTCGGGTCAAATAATTTTTCGGTTTTCTTGTTTTTCACCAACTAAATCACCACGTGCGAGACATTATAAGAGATTTATCGAGTATTATCATTGTTTGGTCTTTAAAGTAAATAAAGGGAAAATAAACTTTCATATTGTTTATAATATTAATTTAAATAAATAAAGAGGACTATAGAAATAATAATAATACAAGAGCTGTAATCAGTAGAAATAAGAGAAAAATCAATGCTATAGTTCAAGAACAAAATCTGGGCGAAGAAGATAAGATTACAACTGCATGAACAAATCAATTAACTTACCAACTGGTTCTTAAAAGAACAACATAAAATCAAAGTTATCGATCCATAACGCACAAATAACTAACATGTAATATAAGATTCATTACAGAACAAACAGGGATCACCCCGGTAAACGAAAGAAACACACCGATATGAACGTGCCAAATATCTGAGGCAGGACAGCAAAATGCCAACTGGGGACTCGTGCATATCTCCGCCCAACCGCCATGTCACAGCTAACTACCAAAATTACTCTGTACAACACAAAACGATAAGGAAATGTTAATATGGTTATTGTTTTCTATTTTCAAACCGATACAAATGTCAAATGACAAGCACACCTAGTCAAAGAAACGAGTGAAACTCATCCCAGATTTCAAGAACAAGCATGACATAAACAATGGGAGACCCTATAAAATGATAACAAGTGCAGCGAAAGTACTGTTCTTGCACAGACTCGTATTACATATCCCTAGCAAAGGAGTTTCATTAACTTGGCAACCACGTGATTTGCCAATAGAGAATCATTTCAAACAACTGATTAACCATCACCAAAAGTATGAAATTTGTCAGGCAATTTCTAGAGAAGCAAAGGTCTCTCAAAAACGCATCAACATCTTCACAGATTTGATAAACCACTGAGTACAGCAATTCATACACTATCTATCAGTATGCACCGTAAATAGAGAGCGGGAAAACAATTAAAGAGGAAAAAAAAAGGCAAGACTTTAAGACGATCAGAACTTACATCAATATTGAAGATTCAGTCATTGAAACAGGTTTAACTTAGCAGCAAGTTCGTCCTCGTTAATTACCATCTTCGGGATTTGCAGCCTCCTTGACATCAACTGTGAAGACCTCCTCCAGATCATAGCCAAGATAAGAATCACTCATAAAATAAAGTTGATAAGTTCTTTCTCCAGGTTCTGTGGGGGCAGTAAACTCGAGTTTCACTTTGGACTTCCTTTGGAGGGCAACCCTTTTAATAGCAAGAAGCTGATTGGTTTTAGTATCACCAACAACGAGCCACCATCCCTCTTCTTTCGACTTAGGATACCTAGGGGCATTCACGGGTCCTACCTCTGTCCTTCCTTGAAGATCTCGTTCAAGACTGACATGCACACTAATGTCTTCCCCAGCCCTAACATTATCCTCGTTAGTCACATCATATGTCAAATCATATCCGGCAAACGATTACACATCGAGCATATCCATCACTGTGAGTCAGACATTTGCAGAGCTCTCGCCTTTCATCGTCGTCCATTTTGACCAAATCAGCAATTGTCTCGACTTTCTTCCAGGGATTTTCCATGCACCTCTTCGCCAATCCTTTGTGAAGTGAGGAAGTTGGAGGAGCATGAATCACGCTCCCACATTCCTTGAGTTACCATTTGACTTACTTCCATGGCCAAAAGGGCCAGATTAAGCCAGCCACTACTGGAAATAACATCAACCATAGCCTGAAGCAGCCTGCTTGCATTTATAACCACCTCTTGCTGGTCAGAGGCAAGGGTACCACCAATTGTTTGCCTAGAGAAGTGAGCTTGCAACAGAGCATTTGCCTTCACATTTGGATCTGTGAACTTCGGGTTCTCGAAGGAGAAACGCTGGTGATGGATCAACCTTCGTATCAACTCTTCTTCACCGGGTCTTATTGGAATCAGCTCATACTCTGAAGCTGAAGCCAAAATATCCAAGAGTCCCTTCAACTTCGTTTTAGATGTCAGAGAAGAACTGAAGCGCTCGATTGTAGTGTAACTGATGTAGTAATAAGAAGAAATCAGGCCAAGATTCAAAGGTGACAGCAAAATATCTTCCTCAACGGCAACACATTTACTTGCTTCTAGATCGCTTAGTGTGCTTTCCACAAGCTCTGAGAGATGATCCGAAAGATGCCTGTGACTCACGCCCTGAAGATTGTAATAGTTTGGATTCTGAGTCAGCCTTCTGTACATAAGCGTCCAAGTCAGATAATCCACCGCATCCTGCTTGTTCTGAATAACCCCAGCAACCACCTCAGCATTGATATTATCGTGCATATAATGATGCAAATGGCTTTCCACTGGGAAGGCTTCAAACAGAAACTTCTTATAATATTCCTTACGTGGCGCGTGACAGAGGATAACACATTTTCCTGAGTTGTCTATGAGAGGTCGACTAGCATGACCCATCATCTGCAATAAATCAGTGACTGGATAATCACTGTGAGCGTTTTCTCTGCCATCATAATACTGAGTTCCCATAACCACTACCAGATGTGCAGACAGTGGGACTCCCCAGCACATTGAACTACCCATAACGCAAACTTGAATCCATCCTGTTTCAAACAGTGTCTTAACTATATCCTGGTCTGTGCTGCTTAGGCCCTCATGCAAATAACCTACACCAAATTTAATAGTTTCCTTCAACATAGGTTCCTTAATGTTGGCAACAAAAGGCTCCATCTCTTCAGCAGACCCTAATAAGAACAAAGGCTTTTCTTCATTGTCAACGCTTGAGTATGTCATCAGGTCCACAGCAGTGAGACGGGCATGCTTCCTTGTAGGAGCAAAAATAATTGCAGGTTTTCCATTCTTAGCATGCTGCACAATAGCAGTGTATGTAGGCTTTGTCATGGCTTGCATTCTAGCTTCATAATTAGCAATGTCAATACCCTGTATATGAATTTCCAGAGGCACAGGCCTTACACTAGGAGGAAAATTGAAAAGACCATGAGACGTAGCCCCAATCCATTCACCCAAGTCCTTGGCATTCGCAAGAGAAGTAGACAGAGCCACAATACGAATTTTGTTTTCCACTTGACTAGCAATGGACCTCATCCTAGATACAATAACCTCCAGGATAGGACCACCTTGACCCCCAATCAAATGGAGTTCATCAACAATGAAGACACTAACTTGCTGGATATGCTTCCGCTGTTTCCATCTGCGTGATAAAGCATCCCATTTCTCAGGAGTGCTGATTATTATCTGACCTTTATCAAGAAGTTTCAAGTCTGTTGCAGTCTCTCCAGTTAACTCAACCACCCTAATCCCGAGGCCCTCCCCAAATTTCTTCTTCCAATCCTGATATCGTTCCTTCGCAAGAGCTTCAATAGGCGCAATGTAGACAGCTCTCATGACATTATCAGGTCCCTTTTGATGATTTCTTAAAATGGCAAACTCAGCGCATATGGTCTTCCCACTTCCAGTTGGTGCAGCAACCAAGACATTGTCATCTGAGTTATATAAGATGGTGAAAACCTGGGTCTGGACGGGATTGAAATGCTTGAATTGCTGATAAAGGGCTTCATATGCTGGGTTCCTCAAGGCTGTCACAGGAAGGGGCTGCAAATCTAGCAACTCCGTTGCAGGAGGAAGCTTTTCAGGCAAGATTAGGTGCCTGAAAGAAATAGGAAGAACACTCTGTGCGCCTAGCCATCTATCAGACACAACATTAATGAAGTACTGAGGGGGCAGGGGTTCGAATATGGGAACAGTAAAATTCAAGGTGTGGTCCTCGTCAATGTATTGTTTCTTCAACATGAAATATTCATGATGAAGAATATTTTCCCCATCATTATCCTCAACTAAGATCCAAAAAGGCTCCACGTACCCGTGGACTTTGTCATCCCACTGGAAGTCAGGCGTAATGGTTAGTTCAACCCTCAAAACAGAGCGAGTAATTGGTTGAACATGTGCATTCAGGTTCAGCTTTGGGAACTGATGGATAAATTTATGAAGTGTTCTTCCCATCTTAGGAAAACGAATTAGTTCCCCAATCTCCTGAGAAGTGAGGTCATAATACCTTTCCCAGGCCAGATCTTTCTTTTCAATTTTCATTAAAATTTCATTTGGACTTCCATGGAACTGACGTAGTGGTGTCTGAACACTCCACATCCTCCTGCCTATCATTTTGCATAGTTTCAAAGCCTTCTCAGCTAATTGGGCCCATCCCCTTTTAAGTACTATCTCAAACAGAGCTCTCATTAAACGCCCAGCACTCTGCAAAAGAAATCAAAGATAAAAAAAAGTTCAATGAGAAATAATTTTCTGCCACAGAAGTGCAAATAATTGAAAATGTGGTAAAAACCAACCTGAGTGATGTAAACCATGTCAGATGTCAATGACAGTCCTTCAAGTTTCAATTGTGAAATATAAGCTTGAAGTAAAACATTGATTTTGGCACTAGGTTCCTCGAGACTCTCTTTGATTGGTATAGGGACCCGATCCAACAGCTTGGCTAGTTCCACCTTCTCATCCTGTCTCACCGTTACGTATTTGAACTCTTCACTAAGGGAGAACAGACGACAAAGTTCGATATCACCCATCGTCGGCTTTAAATGCTCATTGAATGTTGAAACTGTCCCATGAGTTATATAGTAATAACTAGCAATGCGACCCAAGTCAGTCACCTGGAAATATCCGCTTTTCCGGTCATACTTCACCAGGTTATTCTTATCCAACACCGTAGCTGCTGAATGAATCTGAAATAGCACCACAAAAATAGTTATTCAACAGATAAACAGATCAATTAAATTCAAACCCAAATCAAAACTAGAATTCTAGAAGTTAAACAAAAGAGAACCATGTAGAATATTGAGAGAATGCAAACTTTATCGGTGTATAATAACCACCAACACAACAACCTATTGGTCAACTGTGACTAATATGTTTGAGGTAGCTTCTCATTATTGAATCTATGGCCCGACGGGAGCATTAACAATATAATTATCGAACAACTGTTGCCTAGGTATGATATAACCATGGGTGTCAGGCTTGTTGACAAGGTTGGGCTAGTACAAGTGAACCTAACATTAATTACGACCTAAAGAAATGAAGGGTTAGCCTCAGAGATAAAAATGATAATTAAAAGGAGACAAAATGAAAATTGACTTAAAACACTTTTACAAGAAAAATGCAACTATCTGAGACAATAATAAACATGTTTATTAAATCCAAGACAACCATATAAATAAAACCAACCTACAATGCCACGCTATACAACGGTTGGTAAAATCTTAAAAATAGCAAACATATGCTTACCAGATCGGCTCTTCTTTCCTCCAAGCTTCCATCTCTTTTCAGTGCATCAGCAGCCAAACCATAGAGGGTGGGGTTCCGCATCATGCGAACAAAAAGGTAAGTATACAAGAGCCATTTGCATGCTTCTTTAGCATTTTGTACAGTTCCAAGAACAATTTCTGCATTCAACTGATCAGCCAATTTAGAAATAAACTGACTTTCAATTGGAAGCTGCTGATTCATTAAGGACAGATAATATTGCAATTCACTGTGCCCAGTTATGATAATTCCTTCACCATAAGTGTCATACTGCGGCCTTCCAGCACGACCAAGCATCTGCATGACGTCTAGAGGACTTAACTCAGTCCATGCTCCTTTCTCGGGATTATAGATTTGAGTGCCTTTGATAATAACAGTATGAGCAGGCAAATTGACACCCCATGCTAGAGTTGCAGTAGAAACCAAGACTTGCACGTGCCCATCTGCAAAAAGCTCCTCGACAATTTGTCTATCTGCTCTAACCATCCCCGCATGATGAATTGCGAAACCAAATGGCAATAGGTCTTTGAGATCATTGCTCTTTACCAACTCCGTGTGAGACTGAAGAATTTCACGACTTGCACTATCCTCCTTCAAGAATTTACCAAGAGTGTCTTTTTCAAGGGCAGTATCACGGATTGCACGAGCTGTTTTGGATGTTTCCTTCCTCGAGTGCACAAAGATCAGTACTTGATGCTTTCCTGCAACACCAACCACCTTCTCATAACACACATCATTCATCAACTGAAATCTCTGTAATGGCTTCTTTACAGTAATCCCAATATACTGTTGGGCCAAAGGAACAGGCCTGTAACTATTATCAAAATGAAATAGCCCTTTCTCTAGTTTAACTCTTAAAAAAACTGCCACATCGTCGTAGTTTGGAAGCGTAGCAGATAATCCCACCAGCCGAATGTGCTCTTTTGTAGTTTCAATCTGCCGAACAGTTCTTGCTATAATACTTTCAAGCACAGGGCCTCTATTGTCATGCAGAAGATGGATCTCATCGATAATGAGAAGTTTTACAAGCTGTGTATATGTGCGGTCACCTGATTTTCTGGTAATAATGTCCCACTTCTCAGGAGTAGTCACAATAATCTGAGTTTCTTCAATCTGCTGACGAGTCAATGATTGGTCTCCACTCAGCTCTCTAACAACGACACCATATTGCTCCAGACGATTTGACAGATTACCTACTACCTCAGCGACCAATGCCTTCATAGGTGCAACATACACAATCTTATAATTGCTATGATTGATAGACCCGTCATCATTCATGTTCAATGCAATCTGCTGAAGTATGGTGAGCATAGCAACATTTGTTTTCCCAGCCCCAGTGGGAGCACAAAGCAAGATATTTTCTGCACTGAATAGAGCAGTCTCGTAAACTCTACTCTGGACCCTGTTCAACTGGCTCATTCCTTTAAAAGCTGGTTGTGCCCAATCAGGAATATCAGAGATCTTCACGAGTTTTTCGCCAGCAGCTAAAGGCATTGGCTTCAAAGCTGGCACATGAACTTCTTCATAACCCTTCCTATGATTTCGATAAGATCCCACAGGAAGCTCGCACTTCTTGTTTGCCATCAGCAAGCCACCTTGATTAAAGGCAAGGTTATCTAGATCGAGAAGTTGGCGCTGCCCTTTTAACCAACCACCATCCGCATCTCTATCAACTCGCTCGTGACGGTCCCTGACACCATCTCCTCCATCGTCCTTGAGCCGCCGAGCCTCCTCCCTAATTCTTTTCTCCACGTCTTTTTGCCTCTCTTTAGCAGTCGCTCGAGTGGCATTCAATTGATCCAGGATCGCAACATGATTTGGTCCTAATCCCTTCATTTCCTCTTCAATCTCCTTCCTCTTTTCTTGGTCTTCAGCCCTTGCCAGCCGGGTACACCATACTACCTTCAACCGGTTCCGCAACAAGTACTTGATAAGATTAAAATTTTCAAACTGCAGATGCACCAACAACTTATTCTCAACTTCACGGTCATCACCTTCAGCAAGAATTTTGAGAACCTCTTCAGCAAGCTTCTGACTCTGTTGGGGATCAATATTCTGGTCATAAGCCTGTGAGATCTTCCTCTGAAGCCAATATGCATCAATGTCCTGCACATTCAAGGTCATCCCTTCATTAGCTTCCTGCTCCTCATCATCGTCAATCCCACCCATCTGCATAGCACCAGAGCCATCTACTTCCGCCACATCATCATCATCCTCTTCGTCCTCAGGTACCATATCCAGATCGCTCTCTTCCTCCTCCTCTTCATTCTCTTCAAACTCAACAGCAACACCTACATCATCATCAAGACCGTCATCTCCATTGACAGCAGCATCACCAGCATCACTAGCATCGTGATAATCGGTAACGAGCCTCCCGATTTTTACAAGCTCATCAAAAGTAGAGACGGAAATTGGGTTCAACAACTTCTCTATTTCCTTCTTCTTATCAGGATTCTTCAAGTTATCATTCTTGAGAACAGCCAAAATCTCGTCAGCAGCGCCACTAACAATATTCAAAGGCTGCCCACCCAACTGCTGCTGAATAACACTGAGCATGGCCTCATAAGCAGCCCTCGTTTCTTTAGTCTTGGGCTGGTAAACACCTTCCTCCGACGAAGTGAGCACACTCTCCTCCTGAAGACGCCTCTTTTTGCTCCTAGGTTGAGCAGCATCAAGGGCAGGCTCCCTCTCCTTCTTCTTCTTAGATTTCTTAAGTTTCTCCTCCAATTCGGGGGGTTTATCCCTAAAAGCACGGTCGCCGAAAGATTTTGGGTCGATCTTCCCCCACAAAGTTTCGGGCTCCCCCGTAGGCTCATGGGTGTCACGGGGGCGAGAATCGGTTGTAAGAACGAGACTCGAGTTAGCTCTATACTCGTACTGCTTGAATCGAGCATGGGCTTCGGCACCACCACCTGGGTGAGCCATCTTGTCCAGTCAACAGCCCAGGAAATTACCTAAATTACAACAAGCAAAAGCATGTATCAGTAACTAATCTGAAGACGATTAATCCACACCTCAAATCTGAACATTATAAGGAGATTTTATGAGGAAAGCAACTACGCTTCTACATAGGTTTTGGATATTTGGGGGCATTGAAAAATAGGAAAACAAAATTGAGCCCTAGAATCACTGACAGCAAAATAGGGGAAACGAGAATGACCTAAAAATCAGAGAGTGACAAGAGAACTCACCGTAAAGCGGAAACCCCAACTGAATCTGCCGTCGCCTGATACTATCACCGGATGAACAACGGAAAATATTTGAGACGGAGCAAAAGCTCATATACTCGGAAATGAATTATTACACATGTATCGTGTATGTATAATGAGTACGATGAGAGTTGGGGCAAGGGTTTATTTGTGGCGGCCAAGAATTATAAACCGCCTTTTGCACCCCTCTAGAAACATTATATTTGCACATTGCACCCTATTTTAGTATTTTTAGGTATAAAATTGTAAAAGATAAAATTTATGGTGCAATGTGCGAATTGAGTGCATTTAAAGGGGTGCAATCAGCCAATTATTATGAAGCTTTGTTAGATTATAAATTAGGGTTAACTGCAAAAAAATCCCTTAGCTTTGGACGATTTTGCACTTTATCCTTGAACGGGAAAAAAATTGCACTAGCATACCTGAACTTAATAAATTGTTGCACCAACAACTAAAAATTCTAGTTTTTAGCCAAATTCTTCCCTGAATTGCATACGTGCAACTCACAGTTCTATTCACGTGATTTGGATTCCGGTCAGTTTTGGCCAAAAATGGACATTTTGAACGTCGGTGCTAAGAATAATAATATTCAGGTATGCTCGTGCAATTTTTGGTTGGCAAAAAAAATAGGAGATATGTTTTGTTGATTTTGAGAGAGTGCCTTTTTGAAGTATCAGGTATTAAATTGAAGATTATAAAAACTTCACTTTGGGGTTATAAAAGTTATGGGGGTGAACATGTAGTTTTCAATATGTTGAATTTAAAGGGTATTTTAGTCTTTTCAGGACCAACACGCCCAATCGCATAAGCCGCAAGTGTATCACGCTTCAAGCTAATAGAGACTTTATTGACTTTGACTAATTTTCATAAGGGGGTCATTGCTAAATCTTTTAATACAAGAATTTTTTCGACAATTAGAGATTACGGGTGGTTCTTACAAAAATCTACTTGAGAAAGTAATTGAACCAAAGTTTATTTTCGTGATCGGAAAAATTGCATTTATTGATAACTAGTATTTCACCCGTGCGTTGCACGTATGTCAGTTTCAAAATGAGAAAAATAAACTTATGTAAACGACTATCTCTTTATAACAATACCAATTCAAGTAAAACAAAATGGAAGAAAATAAAAAACATAAACTTTATCTCTTAATTTAGAGTTGTAACATATGAAATTAAGTTAAATATTACAAATAAGAAAACATGAAGCACGCAAAACACGATATCAAGATTAAGTGAAATTATTTAAAACATATGGTATAACACTATTTCTTGGATTGCAATCTACTGCACCATGTGAATCTTCTGCAAAATAACTAAGGTAACAACAAACACGGTAGCAGAGAAATAACACAATAGATATTCAAATAACCTGCAAGTTTATCACTAATGGCATTCAATTAGTGATGCATATTACCCAAACAATAAAACTTATAAATATTGCAAAAAAGATATGTTGTATACGCCACTACCAGTACTAATATCAATGTTGATACCAATATCAATACCAATACCAATACCAATATTGTAACCAATAGTGATACTAATTCGATTAGTACTAATACTAATACAAATAATAATAATAATAATATTAATACTAATACTAATAGTGATACTAATACTAATATTAATACTAATATTAATAGTGATACTAATACTAATATTGATATTGATATTGCTACTAATACTGATACTGATAGTGATACTAATATCGATACTAATATTGATAATGATATTGATACTGATACTCATACTCATACTGATACTGATATTGATACAAATGTTGATATTGATACTGATACTGATACGGATATGAATACTGAAACTGAAATTGATACTGATAATGATACCGATATCGATACCGATACTGATACCGATGCCGATATCGATACCGATGTCGATACCGATACTGATTCTGATACTAATGTTGATACCGATAATGATACCGATACTGATATTGATAATGATACTGATATGTAGACTAATATTAATATTAATATTAATATTAATACTAATAGTAATACTAATATTAAAACTAATATTAACACTAATAGTAATACTATTACTAATACTAATACTAATACCAATACTAATACTAATACTAATACTAATACTAGTATTAATACTAATACTAATATTAATATTATTTCTAATACTAATATGTTAATATTGTTAATGTTAATGCTAATGTACATATTCTAATGCTAATACTAATTTTAATGTTAATGTTAATCTGGATATGCTTATACTGATTATAATTGTAATACTAATATTATCCAAATCCTTATCCTATTCATAATCCTTTTCATAACACTAATCATGATTCTAATCCTAATCATAATTATAATCCTAAAGCTATTTCTAACATTAATTATAATCCTAATAATTTTACTACTAATAATACTAATGCTAATGCTAATGTTGATTCTAATTATAATTCTAATTTTAATTCTAACCATATTCCTAATCATAATGCTAATCATAATCATAATACTAATACATGTCACTAATTGTAATTAGTACTCATCAATAATCATAATCTTAATTATAATTCAAATATTAATATTAATCATAATCATAATCTAATCCTAATATTAATAATAATACTATATTAATCCGAATCCTAATCCGTAGTATTAATACTAATACTAATTCCAAAATCATAATTCTAATGATAATACTAATCACAATCCTAATTCTGATTTTCCATCAATGTTTTTGCAATTATCTATTATTTTGTATCAAAAATAATTCTATTCAATCTCGCAACTTTTATATCAAATTCCTTATGTGTGGTACGTGAAACATCAAGAAACACATATTAAATATATTAGAAATTAATATTTAATTATATTATCAAACTGACATTAAAATTATTAAAAATAATATAAGGGTATAAAGCAAACGTTAAGATGTGAAAAGAACAATAATCGTTGTTAATAGGATAAATTACGAAAATCTCATAAAACTTAGGCTAAATTACGGAAAGCACCCCACTTATCGGTAACTACCCAAATCCCCAGATGTATGTTTATGTCTTACACGGCCCCCTTATGGTGTGATTTTTTACGGAATCTTTCTTATTCAATGTAATATCCCAAAAATTGTGGATTCTACCCTTGCAGATGTGACACTTTTTTTATCTTACTTTTTAAATACAAAAATTACCCTTAGGGGAGGTAATAATAATACTAAAAAGTTGTGAAGATGTTATTTAAGAAGAATAAATATTTCGTGTAAAGTCCCCTCAGGGTAATTTTTGTCTTTAAAAAGTACCATAAACAAATGTCGTGTGCATGGTAGAATCTGCATTTTTCGGGGAATATTCCACGTAATAAAAAAAAAAATTCGTGAAAAATCATACCGGGGATCGATGTAAGACGGAAACAAACATTAGGAAAATTTTGGTAATTACGAATATGATATTAAATTAGTAAAAAAGATAAACATATTCTCTGGTCATGTTCATATAAAATGTATAATATCAAATGGTTTATTCTGCAATAATTTTTTTATATAGATCCAAGTTTATGAATTAAAATACAAAATTTTCTTAACACCATCAATCATACAATTATAATAGATATAAATATATAATAAAATAATTTTTTTTTTTAATTTTGGAAAATGATGGCATGTTTTTTGATGATTTATTTTCACCAATCAATTTGCCACATGTGATGAAATTGAATACATGTCACCAATTGAAATTGACAAATGTCAATCAATTAGGTGTGGAATTCAACTTTTATATATTATATAGATTGAGAAAGAAATTGGACATAAAATATATTTCATTGCATTTGTTGTTAAGAATTACAAATATTTATAGACATGATATTAATTGCTATTCTCATGAGAAGACATTTGTTCCACTACTTGTCTTGTCGATAAAAGCCCATGTGCTAATAATGCTAGAAGTCCATATGTATTGTAACACTCCATCTTGAACATAACATTATTATATCGGCTATTAAATTTGGATGAGTAGAGTAAATGCCTCATTAAAAATCTTGTGACGGAAAATCTAGTGGGACAAAAACTCGGTCAAAAGCAAAAGAGAATGCATGATTCAAATTCAAGCTGTGTGTATAAGTTGTTCGTGCATAAGTTGTCTCGTTAAAAACCATAGTTGGAAAACCCAATGGGAGCAAAACCAATTATAAGGAAAAAAAAAGAGTGTTGTACACCGTTGCTCCCCTGAATTGAGCAATATAAGCCCCCGATACGGGATGTCAAATTATAAGTTGTCTCGCTAAAAATCTTGAGCTGGAAAACTCTGCAGGAAAAACCGGTCAAAAGGAACAAAAAAAAAAAAGAAAAAAAGTAATACATATTATAGTTTTTCATGCTCCCCTGAAACAAGTAATATAAACTTCAAAAATAGCTATTTCGGAGGTCAAATATTGCCCCGTTAAAAACCTTATGTCGGAAAAACCCATATGGAAAAAAGACCCAGTAAAAGGAAAAAAGAGTGCAACATATCATTGGTCTATCTTTACCTTAGGCATTTTAAATCCATCGGAGTTTTGTATATTGATATCAATATTCAGTGAACCATATAGATAGACTGTTCACCTGTTAGACGTATGTCCATTCTCTCATGCACAACCTTAGGAAACGAAAAAGGATTGCATTCATTATCATTAACTGCGTTTAATCATAATCAATCCCATATCGGGAAAGTCCTTGAGTTATAAGGCAGACATTATATCGTACAATTTTATTGTTATTATTCCTCTAAAGAACAAAATCCCATTTATATCAAGGAAATTTTACATTGTTCGGAGATTATACAACTTGCCAGTATTTATTTAGTTTTTTCTAAGAAAGCCAATTCCGATTTAATCGCTTTGTCTCATTTAGGCCAAACTCGGCTCTACCGACAACCTGTTTTTGAACATGTTCACTAGCATAATCTTCCCAGAAAATTATAATTGCCTTTTTCGGCATATATATTAAGCTCTACATAATTATTTGGAGCGTGTTTATTATGACCGGTTTATTTAGTGGATTTAATTAATTCATATTAGTGAGAGCATGTGCTACAAAGTACTGATATTTATCCCAAGTACTGCACAAATTTCATCAAAATTATTTTGATCGAGTTCCTCCCGTACTATCCATTCTCATATGTCCAGGGTATAGTAACATGTCTAGAAAACGTGAAAACTGATATTGTGCGTATATAATACGCACATGTGAGACCATCTATATGATGTCTCACAAAAATCACAAATATTATTAAAATATTGGTTCACTTAAAAAGTTGTATTAATCCATTAATATTACCAACATTTTTCATTGAAGGTTATATGCAGGGATTTTCTAAGTAAAATAAATAATAAAATACTCTTCAGAAATCGGGATCCTCGTCTAACGAATGCCCTTTACTATATTATGTATTCTTACACATTATTATATTTTATGGACGTTCCCATACTATCATGCAAAACCTTTTGCCTGTATATTTTAGGATTAACCAATTGATTGGCATGGTGACATAGAAACTTATGCGAGTTAAGGTTCTACTATCATCTTTCTCAACTCTTCGCCATTCATCTTCATCGTAGAATCACAAAAAATAACTAAGTGAGTGCAAGGAATTTGTCGGGATTTAAAAGAGATGGATTTTTAGTGGAGTGAAACAGAAGGATTGAACGATCTCAAAAAGAAGATGAATCTCAGACAATCAACAACAATTTAAAAGAAATGAAAACTGCTTATATGTCTTTATTGGGATGGAATTTGCCTTGAGGTACGGTCTTTTATGGTTTGATTTACTCATAAAAAATATGCTTGTATACATTTCAAGTTAATATCAGATTTGTACATTTTTATGAATTTTATATAACAATTGTTGGTCCTATTTGTTGGCGGAGGATC